ACGGGCTTCGGTCAGGATGACTGCCCAAGAGGTTTTGCGAACGCTCCCAGGGGGGTTGTAGTTTAAATTACCAAAATAATAGTAAAAAACTGATTTACTTGCAGAGGTGAGGAATCAAGCATCCGTTTAGGTGCGTCGTCGTCGTCGTCCTCGCGCCCAGGTAGGAGAAACGCGGGTTTTATGTGCGACCGTTCTAACCGTCTCAAAAGAAAGAACGCGCGAGCTTGCGCTGGTTTAAAAAAAAAGGCATCCAAAGAAAAGAGGCGGCACGCTGTGCTCTTTGTTATTATGCGTCTAATTGCAAATTGTTGTGTGTATGTTTATACAGCCGGAAGTTAGTCCGCCTCAGTGGGCGTCTGACTCTCAGCTGTAGATAAGCAATTTGGCCAGTGCGGTACAACCGCAAACCTGGTGTAGTAGAAGTAGTGATACACGACCACACGCCGGTGGGATGCTCTTCCAGATCGAAACGGGCAGGGGCGGGGTGGCTTCTGCAGCGCAAGCTTTCGCTCCAAGTGCTGCGAGCTGGTGTGCGCTAGACCATGCACTCGGCCACCGACCCCCCCCCCCCCCCCTTGTGCGTCTAATTTATATACAGGTATAAATATTTGCAGATCGACGATGGACGTCGATCGTCTCGAGGTAATGTAACGTAATAACATTATATAAATAATAAACTTGTTGAAGGACTCAACAACTCAATTTTTTTAATTCTTGGATTGTAATATGGCCGTAGCCTATTGTACTTGCTGTTGATGAAGAGCAATATGGGGTGACGAGGTAATGATTAAATAATGAGGCTCTATAAGGACGACGACATTAGTGAGTGTCGAACCACAACGTACAGTGCCATACTTGTTTCAAGTATCGTGTACCCAAAGACTTTCTTCTCCCGCAAAAGGATATGGTAGAATAAATGAGGATGCTACTTTACAACTGTATGTGGAACAGGAAAACTGCACTGCGCAGAAGTGCGGCTTATTCGTTAATAAGAGGGACGGATTTCTAGCAGCATTCCCTGATTGATTACTTGGAACAAATGGCCTCATTGACGTAAAGTGTCCCCGTTACAAAAGATTCTTGAAGCGTACTTAAACCGCAAAGGAGTATGAGGCGAAAAATAATAAAAACGAGCCTGGTGTGAAAGGTCCAAATCACCCACCATGGCTTCTACTATCAAATACAAGGGCAGTTACACAATACACAAAGAGAGTTTTGTGATTTAGTTATATTTACACTCAAGGACGTTGATATCCAACGTATACGGAGAGATGACACCTTCTGGTCAACCAACATAGAGCCTTTTCTACTCAAGTTTTACATGGAAGGCCCGACTTCCGCTGAAATTCCTCACGTAGACGGGTTGTCCGACCGAATAAACTGCCATTACTCCCGATCTGGGAATCTCTCGATCTTTGTTCGTAGGTCATAGTATCATGAGATCGAGGGGTGTGGCTCTTCGTCCGCCGAATATTGTTTCGGCGGGTGTTTTTACCGTGTAAGATGAAACCGTCACGTGCTGCTGGAACAACAACCTGGCGATTCTTCACTGAACTGCTTCTTCCGTAAGCTTCAAAAGGGCTTTTTTTTTGTTTCGCACACCATCTGTTCTGCATGCCCGTTAGTTGCAGGATGGTATGGTGCACTAATGTGATGCCTGATGCCGGTTTTTTTTCTTCAAAAACTTGTTTATTTTGTTTGAAGGAAGATTTGGCGCGTTATCAGAGAAAAGTATTTTCGGTAGGGCAAAAGTAGGTAAAAGAGACCGTAGAACGTCAATGACATGTTTGGACGTCGTGGCAGGCATCGTGTAAACTTCCAGCCACTTAGAGTACGGATCGCCCATGACTCTGCAGAGGCGGATACGTTTCGCCACCCACCGATTGAATAGTCGATCGTTTTCAGTTACTGTTCATGATGGCGTTGGACTCAAGGAAGACTTCGAGTCTTTCCAGAAAGTTAGCCTAGGTGCCAGGACTTTTGTCGAAAGCGGTAAGTGTTCGAAACGTCGACAACGTCGGTAGCCACGTGTTGTGCTTGACACTGGACTCTTACCATTCGCTGAGACGAAACTTGCTTGTTCGTCTGCCACGAGTCGTCCGATATCAGGTCATCACCCCAACACCATCTCCCGACAAAAACGCATGTCCATAGTTAGCAATCACGTGAATTTATAAATTTCCGAACGCTCATAACTTGCCGTCGCTAAACACCATTCATTCATAGCGTCCTCATTGCAAATAAACGCCTCCCTATTTCTTCTGATGGTTTTCATCATATTCCTCCTAAGCTGTACTTACAACATTATGTGTGTCGGTACTTCCGAACATATTGCAACGGCGTTTGTTTTCTGGGAACCCCCCCCCCTCCCCCCTGTAATGTAACAACCTTTACAACATCTTCCGAATCCCATGAAACACAATATATCGTGACGTTATTTTAGTCGTCATTAAAATGGTGAGGTAAGTATCGTAAATCGCGAAGCCGTTCACTAGACGTCCGCTTCCACGGTGTCTTGGAAGATTGAGTCTACTGAGCGTGCATTCCTGCAGAAGAAATTTTCATTGATAGAATATTGACACGTCAATCAACATTTGATTCCTTCTTGGTAAGATTTATTGCGAAAGCCCGTTACAACCGCCGAACCGCATCTCCCTATATCAGAGAACAATTTATACTTAGCCTGACATTCTCGGATACATCCGTTTGATGGGCCACGCTACTTGAGCTAGCTGAGCACAGCTGGCAGCGGCGCGAGCAAGGCCACGAGGGGAACGTGATGGTGCTCGAGCCATCCCACTGTTAACCAATGTTTCGGCCACCCCACGGGTACGTGTCGCCATCTATTGGTTGAACTAAAGCCTTGTTCAAGATGGCTGCCGTGGGACCGCAGCCTTAAGGTTTATTTTTGATAGATTTTGGAGTGTTTTTTGGGAAAGGTTTTATTTGTTCCCACAAATTCTGTGATTTTTAATGTCAGACAAAAATAGGAGTTTGTTGGGGCTTTTGTAGAGGAAAACGAGATGCGGGCGAAGGGTTCTCCACCCTCGATGGGACAAGTGCGTGACCCGGATGCCAGGAAATCATTCTGGCACTGGTAAGAGAAAGAAATGAGATAAAGTTTGTGGTTTCTGAAGAGAGCAACGGCCTCGCAAACAGTTTGCAGAGGTCTATATGTTCCAGGTCCATACAAAATGATGTTGTAGCCAAAGATTTCTTCCTACGGAGCTTGCATTTTTATTATTCAAAAACAGCTTCAATTTGGAATTTTTCAGTTTTCCCCAGTTTTCATAAACCTGGCCCGAGAGTTCATTGCCAAGGTTTACCGGTAATACAGTCTAAGCTCATTACAACAGACATTTGGATATAACTTACTGATTTGTGAAGTTCGGTTACTTTTCCTGTGCGTACCATTGACTCAACTTCATATCTTCATACAACATACTCCTTTTACAACAGACCGAAATCTCGGTCCAAATCAAGGTCTGTCATAACGAGCTTAGACTGTATTGAAAACACAGAACCCCGTTACCTGTACTCCTGAAATTCTGCAATATAAAGTTATACTTATTTTGCATAACTGGGGTTGGTGTTCATCACTGATTACTTTTGATGCATTCCTACTGCGAGCGGGAAATTGTTGAAAAAATAAAATAGAAAAACATTATGAAACAATTTATTTCTAGGGCACGTTTTCATACTACATTACAACTTAAACAGTAAATCTGGAGCTAACCTGCAAGGTGGTGGTTGAAGCTGGATTCTACCATTTCTATCATTTTTCTTACCCTGTAGGTGACCAATATACAAGTAACATAATAACACTCTGTTCCTTTTCTATAGTATAACATGTAAAAAAGGCTGCATGAACTTAAAAAAAAAGTTCAACTTAAAATTACAATATGGTCCCTTGAAGAAGCAGTGTGACTTCTACCATCTCACATATTTCCCCCAGGTGAAAAAGAGAAAAATCTTTTGGGGGGTGTTCTATTTTTGTACAGACAAAATGCCATAGTAGGATTTGGCACCTTGACTGCTCGGAATTTTTTTAGAAAATAGCAGAACCTGAAAACCCAATCGGCTCAGACAACCCGACAAGGCTACAGGGTTAAGAATTCTTCCTGAAGAACAGGCAAAACCACCATTAACGGAGACCAGTGGAAAACGTCATCTATGATTTTCTTGGTATCTTGGTGCATCGACAGCTCCATGATAAGAAACCATCTGCTAGTCTCCAAGTGCAGAGACTAACTTCTATATTCATTAGAATGGCAATGCAGTGTACCGATAATGCAGTTGCTATCAAGAAGGCTGTGCGGCTGCTTAGAATTTTTGTATGTGACTAAGTAGTGCTTTTATCAACTTTTGTTTAACATAAACCAATTTATTCCCTGAACTGTGCACTTTTTTTTATAAAAACGGTTGACCTGAACTTAGCCGACAGCACAAGAGGACGAACGACTGATGTCGTGGTTGCGCACTCTTATCTGCGAGGTAAGTGGAGGCTAACCATCTGTAGTTCCCACTTCCACGAAAAGTGACTTATGGACACAAGTAGTATACCATGAACAACAAGGCACTACTAAAATGGTGGCAAGATGAGAAAGGGCAGTCAACACACACAACTACCTATCAAGTTTTCACCAATTCAGAGTAGTTTTCTGATTCTTTTTAGGTACCACTACCATTAATCAAAAGAGAATAAGTAGAAACATATGTCCGTCTTTTGACATATGAATGTAACTGCCTAAATACTGCCTTTTTTCTACCATTAGGATGAAAAAAGTTAGAAGGACATTTGAGCCAACATAGATGGCAGTGAATTTCAGAAATGTCCACTGCAAAAAATACAAGTATCCAGTACTGCCTTCCCCTCAGTCGACGCCAATGCGTCTTTACAGCAACGCGCTAGGCGAGGATACCAAAAGAACTTCCTGGTTCCAAATGTGGAAAGAAAATGACACCGTTACAAAATTTGTAATACACTCTTGCATACTTACCCAGCATTCAAAACTGACGCTGCAATGCTCAAGATGCCGCCACCACAGCCAAGATCGGCAACATGCTTTCCAGTAATCTCGCCTTGACTGAAGACGTAGTGCATCATTTCCGCTGAAATGAGCAATGATTAGTGTCAATTCTGCTCAGACGTGCACCACCAGTCCCTACAGTAGGGAGCTGCACGTCACTTAGCCACTCTCTGAGCCGGGCACACATGAAGACGTCATAAGCCCAACGCTTCTCTCAAAAGACGGGTCTCTGCTGCGCTAGTAAGTGCTTGTTTTGGTTTACCCTCGTTTTTGATGATGCCCTTTAGCATTAGATCACAAGAAACTTGATATACTAGTTTAATCTTGAAACACTTGCACATGATATCGCTGCCCAGAAGACTTCTCTGGTTTGTCTGTGCTGTTGGATGCTCATTTCTGCTTTGTTGCAGCTTTGCTAAGATAACAAGAAAAAAAGCCGGCGGCTATGACTCTGTTTGGACCGACACTCAGAGCAATAGGTCGATCTCACCAGCCAGGCTAGCTATGCCGCCGCTACCGTGATGCATTGAGGAAACTTTAGTTTTTCTGCACATGGGGCAACATCGCTGTTGCGCCATTCCCCCTTGAAACTTGACCCCACAAGAGGCAACCGCCACGTGGGGCCTGCCTCCTGTGGAGTTAAGTCATGGCAGTGTCACACATGTGCCGAACGCTTGGTGAGACTGGTCTACTTGAGAGCCTGATGGATGCTCACTTTTAGTGCTTCACACCCGAGTGTTCAATGCGCCATCCAGCCCTTAGTGGAAGTCAGCGATGTGCATTGGCACAGTAAAATATTTAAAGGCTTCAGGAACAGGTGCTTCATAAATCAAGATTGAGGTACGAAACAAAGCACGCAAACTAATTATTAGAAACCTTAGAAGAGAGTGAACTGCAGAAAGTGATTCGCAACAAGTTTCTAGTTGCTGGTTATTCCCGTGTGCGCCACGGCAGAGGCATCACCCTCTGGCCATAATCATACCAAAGGCTTTCAAAAGCAATGTCACATAGTTCAAAAAGACACCCACTATTGATGAGCCAAGAGTTCCAGCAATGGAAAGAGCAGAATGGCCCCAGCAAAGTCTGCTTTTTTGTACAGTGATTCCTTACGAACATCGTTATAAGTACAGCGAAATAGGAGACACTATTTTGTTTTAGGTTTGTTTCTACGCATACTGCTTTTCTTGTTTGACTGGGTTCGTATTTTCATTAAAAAGATGTACTCTCTGCTCTCTCAGCTTTGTGAAAAAAAAAAAAAAAAAAATCTGGGTTGGAAAAGCAAGGATATATAAAATTTAGGGCAGTTCCCATGCAACAAGTTCCATTCCCTGAAAGTTTGCACGGATATTAGTAGTTCACGGGTTCATAAATGAAGGACTCGCCTACTCAAATTTGGACACGGACAAACCAGGTTCTTATTAGAATGAAATTAAATGCACAGGTGCAAGCGAGCTGGACAAGAATGATGAAAATAATCCCTGGAGAAGGGGAACAAGAGGGACAAAGGACAAACACAAATCTCCAAACACAGCTAGGTGACTGGTGAGCGACCGAAAAAATCCACCTGGTCCGGGTATCGAACCCGGGACCTCTCCATTACAGGTGGAGCGCTCTACCAACTGAGCTAACCAGGGGTAGAGCAAACGGGTTTTATCAGCCGCCACCAGTCTAATACCAACAAGGGTGAAGCTTGCAATTCAAGGTTATTATTAGAATGCAATTAAATGCAAAGGTGCAAGCGAGCTGGACAAGAATGATGAAAATAATCCCTGGAGAAGGGGAACAAGAGGGACAAAGGACAAACATAAATCTCCAAACACAGCTAGGTGACTCGTGAGTGACCGAAAAAATCCGCCTGGTCCGGGTATCAAACCCGGGACCTCTCCATTACAGGTGGGGCGCTCTACCAACTGAGCTAACCAGGGGTTAGACGTCAGTAGAGCAAACGAGTTTAGAGCGCTCCACCTGTAATGGAGAGGTCCCGGGTTCGATACCCGGACCAGGCAGATTTTTTCGGTCGCTCACCAGTGACCTAGCTGTGTTTGGAGAGTTGTGTTTGTCCCTCTTGTTCCCCTTCTCCAGGGGTTATTTTCATCATCTTTCATCAAACCAGGTTCACTCGTCGTGTAGTGCTTTGCTTAGAGCCTCTGGTTAGTGCCCTTTCAAATTTAAGACTTCATTTCGCCACTGCACACTACGAAATGACGAGCAATTAAAGTCCAAGAGGAAGGAAACAACAGTGTGTGGAACGATTAGACCAGAGTACCTCAAGTTCCGCCAACTGAGTTCTGCTAATAAAGATGAATGAATAAATGAATGAATGAATAGACGAGACAGAGGAGCCAAAGCACGGCGGGGAGCAACAAGCGAGTGCTCGAGGCCGGGAATTCGAAAGAGATGCCCTGCCGTTTTCATGGTACGAAATCCATCATCGGTACGAAATCCGTCCAAAGTTTGTGGTTGAGGGTGCGCGGAACGGCACTCCGTCGAGAAGACCGGAACGCAGGCATTACCTGAAATGTCGGGAGGCGTCGGGTACTGTTCCAGGTGGACATTCGGCGCGTCGAACGTGTCCACATCGTCCAGAATGCTCTTCAGATGCTTCAACTTCATGGCAACACCAGAGGAGAGACCTGACAGTACGCAAATTCAAATTCAAATTCAAATGCCGGGGACCGGGGGTCTGCATATGAACATTCGTTCCAGAGTGTAAACAGCGAAACAACAAACACGAAGACCAGATGGCGTGGAATATACAGTGAATGAGTGAAGCGTGAGGCCCTGGGCGCCGTGAGGCGACCAACCAATTTTCAATCTGTGAACACACACCAAAACACAACACCGACCGCACGACAACAACACGACGAACACGACCACCACCACACTACACCAACTACACCACATGTAGTGTCGAACATGATGATAATGATGATAATGATGATGATGATGATGACACGTACGTACATGAAGCGCCATCTCTCTGAAGTATGCTCTGAAGTAATGAAAAACATAACAAACTTACGCTTAATAATGAACGGACAATATGATGCATCTGTTTTAATATATATTACTCTCTAAAATAATATATTTTTAATTGTTTAAAATTATAAATAGATTAGTTTAAAGTTAATACGACACACAGCGCCACGCCCCCACGTTCCGGCGAAGCCGAAACCACAGTTGCCAAAATGCGTGCATGTGGCAACATGGCATCCGTGTCGAATGTAAACATGAAGGAGATCAAGGAAAAACTAGAAAACTGGGATCACCCTTCCGAGCCCCTCGCACCGCTGTCTGAAACACAGCGAGACGGAATTTCACAGCTGATGGCTCACGTCGCCGAGCGGCCCATGCCAGTCGGGGTGATGATTCGTTTTTATCAAACGCCCCAACTTCCGTGCGACTAACTACGTGTTTCTGGGACCCTATGTTCCACAGCTCTACAAATTACCGCTTATTACGAATTAGGTACACCGAGGTATTGGCAGCCGTGTGGCGAAATAAGACACTAGAATACGCTCGGATATTTTTTTTTCGTTACACGTTGCCACTACGCCGTTAAGATGAGGGTTGAATGGCTCACCGTTCCGCAGGTTTCGTCATGACTAGGTTACTACAGCTACAGGTAACCAAGATGTGATCTGCTGCCATGAGTTCATAGGTCACGACAACTGCGTGATGCACGTTAAAAATACCAGGTTATTAGTCGCAGGTCGGATTCAAATTTCTTCTCTCCAACGCTGACTCCTGAACTAAAAGGGAGCGATCTCCGATAGTTCTGATACAGCTACGTCAGAAATTATTTGTATTTTGATGAAAGAAGTGACCGTTGATAACTTCCGGGTGATGTTGTTGGTGACTGTTTGGTCTCTACTCATGGTGGATTTTGTCGTCCCGAACACCTGTACACTGCCCAAAGGCTGTGCTGGTTGAATCACCGGCTTGTCAAATGATTCGCCGCAGCAGCGGTGAATAATTTTACTCATTTGTCGACGATGCAGATGAAAGTAAAGGTGCCTGTGAGTCCGGACCACGATCGCGACACGCCACCGCCCATTCCGGAATTCTCTGAACTGCCAGAATGCTTACAAAAGGTGCTCAAGGGTGACACCCAAATCACAAACGCACAGCAGGTCAGTGTACCTTTTCCTTCGAGCCTGGAGCGTGTCTCCGACTGGTGTCCTCACGTGTGCTCCTTGGGTTTGTGCCTGATGACGTCGTAGAAGTGTCCTGCAGTTGCATGCCACAATCCTGTGGTGGCAGTGCAGAGGTGTCTATGGATGCTGCTGACGCCTGTTCCACTGAAGTTCGCTCTCCCGCTTGACAGTCCATGGAAGCTGACACAATTTATCGCCGTTTTAGAGCCACCCTTGATGCATGGGCGATACGGACGCTATTCACACCAGTTGCGGACGCATTCCAGGCGTGACGGTTTTGCTAAGGTTGACTTCCAGGCGCTTATGACAGCTGTGTTGATTGTGTCTTTCCGCAGTTCCTGACCTGGTTCTCCGAAGTAGAGGAGAAGATGATGGAGGAGAACGACTGGGAGTACACGTACGTCTGAGTTCCTTTCTACCTCGGTCGCCCCCATCACTTAATGTTTGTTTTAGAGCACCATGCTTCATCGAACAAAGCTCTACCCACAATGTTTCATCAGAGATGGTTTAACTCAATGCAAGGAGCAAGTCGTCTGCTTCTTTGCATGGGCTGTGATTACGTCAGAACGACATGTGAGTTAGGATTGGCTTTAATTGGAACGATAGTGGGTAGACCTCGATGCTAGATGCTTTGAGGTCTACCCACTATTTTTTTTTTTTATCAGCTAATAAGAGCTTGGCGTTCCGACATCATAGCAAACCCTGTGCAACAAGCTGATGAACTTGCGCTCCGCATAGCAGTTGTCATTTTAGTAAACAAGTCTTATGCGTGATGACAGATAGCTTAGAATGAAGATGGGAGCTGCTGGCGTCATGAGATCACTGGGCACTTTACTGTACCACTGTTGTTTTTGGTCGTGTTTGTGCCGACTGAAGTATAAAGGCAGGAAACTGCCCACCCTTGGCAGTGCGAACCTCGACGAGCGTGTAGTCTGCAAGCGTAGTGAGCGTCCCTTTGGTTTACTGACACGTTAAGTCACTGTCTACAGTAAATCCAGCTTCCCAAGTAACGCATTGGCATCGGAATGGAGAGGACCGGGGTGGTTCGCCTTCGCAGACATGTCGGACAAATTCGAGGGTGGGGGAGGGAAATTCTGTGCCCCTCCCATTGCCCCCAGGTATCCTCACGGAATAACCAGGATGGTGACTATGACAGTGCTCTCCTTTCGTTGCTCAATATTAGTTCACATAGATAATACTTTAATGATGTTGGTTTGTGCAGAGAGTATGTAAACACCACAACGGCCTACTTGAGCCAGTGCTGCGAGCTGCTGAGGGAGATTGACACATCGATGGCTCAGCTGAGGCTGCTTCAAGAGGAATATCTGTTTGTGTCAAACAAAACAAATGCGCTACACGAAGCCTGTGAACACTTGCTGGAAGATCAGGTCTGTATTTTGACATGTCGGAACATTTGTGCACTTTACTCACACCCCGTTGCTTTTCAGTCAAAGCTCATGAACGCCGTCGAAACCATTGCGGAGAAACTTCGCTACTTTACGGAACTAGACACTCTTTCTCAGGTAAAATATCTCGTGTCTGTGGCGCCCTGACAGTTCGATCTCGCATGGCCTAATAATTATCTTAGCAAAGTGCTACGCTATTTCTGCAGTGCTAACCAGCAGCTGAGACTCTGCTTCGGCCATACCGCAGCCGACAGGGCAGTGGGAGCTACGAGTTCATAGGACCAGTCGTACGTCAGTCTTTTGCCGCACGATCACGCTCTCGCCCATACTCACGCACGAAGAATGGAGTCGGGTAATGAAAAAGAGGCGATTGATTAGCCTGGCAGACATGTAGCTCCCGCTACCCTGTCAGCTTAGGGGTGACGGAGTGTGGCGTCATGGTCGAACGTTGTAGACACTGCCACCGAAGTGCGTTAAGGTTGCCAACAGGTTCTTGCATTGTATTTGTTGGCAGGTTGATTAAATGTCGACGTGTTTGGCTGGAGCTTCTAAATTTTCTCACGAGACTTCTGTTGCTTTTCAGAAAATTGGATCACCAAACACCTCCGTGTTGAGTGAGACATTCGTTCCGCTGCTTACGAGGCTTGACGAGTGCATCCACTACCTCGAAACAAATGTATGTGTACTTCCGCAATTGGCTTGAAGATCTGAATTGTGATTTTATTGCTCTTTAGAGTGGCCATAACGCTCTTCGTGACTTGTGTCCTTGCATCAACACCCTTGTTAAGTTCATTCTTCTGACAAAAGCCTGCGTGATGTCAGCTCTGAAAATATCAGTGTTGGCTTGCAGCTCAGTAAAAGCGAGAATTAGAGATGTACTCGCATAAATCACGCTTTAAGTAACTTACCCTGATAGGAAGGAAAGGTGTAGACTGGGCTTCGAGCTTTTTCAGCGCAAGAGCCACTTTTATTGCTCTTTAGCGTTAAATAATGTCCTCCGTGTCCTACAGGCTCCTTGCATTTATGACAAAATGTGTTACCAGACCCAGCACCAGTTTTATTATTGGCATCCCCATACTTCGCAGCATTTTTGTTAGTTCTCAACTTAAACGAGACAATGTTTGAAAATTCGTTGCGGAAGGTTGTAGAGTGGTGGATGAAACAGGTGGAATTTCTTCTAACACATGTCACCAATCGAGAGTGACTGTACGCAAAAAAAAAAGAAGTTTCGAGAGAGTCGGTGTTTACAAGTTTCTCGAGTAGTTTGTTCTAGTCTACAACAGTCTGTGGAAAGTAGGCATCTTTTTTTAAAAACATCCTTGTGGCAGAAAACCGACACGTTGCTTTATCGTGCTTTTTCTATAGTCGCTGACTGAATTAGAATGACAGGGCGTGTCTTTCGAGTGCCCTGCCTCCAGGACGCGCTCCGTGCCTTCCATTGTGCTTTGGCTATGCGCACGCGCTCGAGGTACGCGAGACGCCAAAGCGTTGTCGAAGGTCGAAAGCTGGCGTAAGAGGCGGTACAAATGAAACTCCTCCCTGCCTTTCTCACCTTGTCGGTGACTATAGTTGGTCGGTTAGTGCCAGGTGTGACATGGCTGCCGATAGATTCAGTGCGGGGCAGGGCCAGAAGCACACTTCTTTGGAAGTAGAAGCATCATTTGCAAGGTAATAAAACGTTATGAAAGTCTAATATTTTTCTTCCCCTTCAATTTTTCCCAGTCCCAGTACAAGGAAGCGTCGACATACCTGGCAAGGTTCCGACACCTGCAGTGGCAGGCACTCGAAATGGTGCGCTCCTATGTGACGAGCACGCTCGAGCACACTACCCATCAGGTGCTCTCACGGAAGGACATCCTCTGCTCCGCCGACAATGCCTTCGCGCTGCTCTACGGGAAGTTCCGGACCCATGCCCCCCGCATCCACTCCCTGGTGGCCCAGATCGAAGAGCGGGTCGAGCGGAATTCCCAGTGAGCTTTCCTCTGAAAACTATGGGGATTGCAATTGGAACGATTTGTCCGTCGTCACTTTGGGACAGCACTGCTTGCAACAAAGTGTGCGTGACCTCACGTTTTTGATTATGTACGGTGTTTTAAGGACGGTGGTCTGCAGCCGGTGTGTAGTCCTCGGTAGCATAATTCAGATGAAAAAAAAAAGTTTCTTCTTTGATGGTGTGCATCTGACACATAGTATGTGCCTGATGCTACTCTGCACCTTGTGCTTAATAGGCACGTAAGAAGTTCTCATACAAAGCACGCCTTGACAAATGCCTCTTTGTTTAGCTCAGAAAAAAGCTTGTATCATATGTGGATCATCATTCACACTTATCGTTCATGAAATTCACCATGTCTCGTCATAGTGACTGATTTAGGAAAAAAAAAAAAAAAAATTGCATATAAGTTGCATTTATAGATATTCCACAGCATGTAAAACTTCAACTTTAAGACATATACAGCCCACGTATAATAGTCCTGAAAATAGGGTGTTGGCGAGGAGATCAAAACAGAGGAATCGCTTCGTCTAGCTTGTTTTCAACGGAGCTTGGGGCTCACCCAATACAGGGTTCATAAAGTGGATTCTTAACATCACCTTTCTCGATCGAGCACGGGGCAGAGATTGGATGCTAGTGCTGCATCAGTGTTTAGACGGGACTCCCATTCATTCGGTGCTTTGGAACACAGACCCTGGCTGAATGCTGACACAGCGTCTAGCTGTGTCGCCCAAGCACTGCATGAGAAGCACAAACAAAAAATTCTCTTGTTGTTCCCGTGGGTTTAGCTCTCAAGTTGTCTGCTAGGTGCGTGACAGTTGGACCTCTTTCGAAATACTCGGAGAAAACGTGGCGTGTCACTGTCCATCCATAGGAAATAAATCCAGCCAATGCCAGAGGACCAAGCCAAGCTGATCCACAAAGATATTTTCTGCTATCTTAGTTCTGACCGATAGGAACATACCTTCGCCAACAGAGCAAACAACTTGCAAAATTAGGGAAACCAGCCTTGGATGACTATACGGCATTTCAGTGTGTCTATGTCTCTACCGTAATATCCCGAGATATGGCCCACTTAAAATCAAGAGCAAGTCGGATGAAAAGAAGGAGTGGGCTACCTTTCTGCGTATGACGAGAGAAGTCGAACAAACACTATTTTTAGGTCACGTTTCCCCGCCACACTTGTTATTGCCACGAGGGGCAACGAAGCAAAGGTGGCTGTCTTTCCCAGTCAGCAATGTTCACTTACCCCCCCCCCCCCCCCCCCTTAGCTAACTAACCCCGTTTCCGCCGAGGTCACCGTCGGCCTGACCACTATGATTACTAGAAGCAGGCTATCTTTTGGCGTTTTTCAATAAAAAAAGGAAATTGAACCAAAGATAAGGGTGGGGGGGGGGGGGGGTTATCTTTCAGGGGCAGAGCACCTCTCGGGATACCGTATCTTTGCCGTCTTTGGCTCCCAGGTACCAGGAGCTCCTCGACGGCTGCCATCAGTGCTACTTCAGCCAACGGGAGACCTTGCTGGGACCCAGCGTGTCCACGGCAATGAACGAGCTGGCCACCGCGCACCAGAGAGACCACTGTTCCCTTGTGAGGAGTGGCTGTGCATTCCTGGTTCACCTCTGCGAGGATGAACACCAGCTCTACATGCAGTTCTTCACCAAGACAGCACCGCTCTTAGAGTAGGTTGGCCCTCTTCTGAATTCTAAAACTGCTGGCAACACTCAAAAAAAAAAAAAAAAAATGCTTATTGGAGGTATGTATTGCAGGTTTTTGAAAAATTTGTGACCACCATGTTTATTTTATGTTCCAGTGTATAAGTCACTGTTCTTTTCACAAATTCCCATCGGTGCATCTCATACAACGTTACGACTTGCGCATATCTTTTCCTCTGCAACTGTAGACCTTAACGGTGGAAGGTCTAGGCCAAATAGACATTTACGGCAAAGAGAGAATGGTGGAGCACCCGCCGATGGCCTGCTCTTTCGGCAGTTCAAAGACGGTCCGAAGCACGGCAGCATAGGTCCGTGGCTGCAGCGACTCCGCGCAGCTGCGAACGTCTGCAAAGAAGTGTGTAACTTATGCAAAGGTATAACATATAAACTACCAACTTTTTTTGTGTAAACAGCCAGTTATAATGGAGTGCAAGTTATACAATGATGCAACTTATAAGCTGGAAAATGTGGTAGTCAGAGATAGGGTGACCTGTTTTTTTGCTTGAGAATGCTTGACTAGTGTACCTACTCGAAAATAGCTCTTTCTGTTCATGAAAGTCGAGGCAAGTTAGAGCTCTGCACGGGACTGGGCCAACCCAAAAGCACAGGCCCAGCCCGGCCAGGGTAGCAAAGATTGTTTCCGGGCCCGGGCCAGGTCGCATGGATTGTTTCCGGGCCCGAGTTGGGCTCGGGCAAAGGTGTAGCACACTTTCTAAAACGTTGAGAAGAAAATGCAAGCGCATTGATCATTTAGATTTGAAAGAAACAAAAAAGCCAAAGTGCAAACTTGCTATGATGTTACTAAAAAAACCTTAGAAATAAAGAACACTGTCTTGGACTAAGAAACTGCACAAGAAGATACGGAGAAGAATCTTGGGGATTTCACCAGCATGGTGGGACAACTGCCAGCAGGCAAGAAAAGGAGGGCAATCTAGTCACCGGGGACAGTGACTGTATGATTGTCTTTGCCTTTCTTTTTCAAACTCTTGAGAAGAGAGAAAAAAAAACTCCTCTGGCTACCAAAGATAAGCTAGTATGTCTATTTTATTTGTGCAAGTTTTCGAAGGGTTACTGCGTGACTGTGACATGATAGCACCTTTCATGCAAATTAGGCTAAACAAATCAAATGTGCAGCACCTTCCCAGGGCAGCTTTGAATTTAAAAGATGAGGTGCACGCTTTGGCCTCTCCTTGGGCAGGGCCTGATCAGGTAGGCATCCCATCGGGCCAGGTCCTGGTCGGGTGAAACTAACAGTCTGCGGGCCCAGGTCAGGCCGGGTCGAAAAAGGTAGGCCCGTGCAGTGCTTTAGGACAAGTGTTTTGGTAACAGTAATCACACATTGAGGCAGGTAACAAGATAATGGGGTGGACAGACACAAACCTCCAAGCAGCAGAAAAAATGTCTTCATGCTGAGAATGGTACTACATACGAAGTTAGCTTCTATATCCGTGGCATGTTTGTCACCTTCCTCAGCGTGTGATGAAAGGGGACCAACACGCAACTTATAAAAGGGGACGGAAAAATGGCAAGAAGGAGATGGGTTTTTCTTTCCTTCGAAGTGTGAACTGTGTTGGAGCGCTGAGTATGACATTCACGTGCTTAGAATCTCGGCACACATATTTCGTGTTCAAAGCTTGACATTAATGGTGTTTCTTCATTTGCCTGGCCTCTCGTAAATTCAAGTGACAGACTTCCCATGGAAGTTGTGGGAACGGCTCTCCCCCCCCCCCCCCCATCCCCCCCTCCCCCAACCTTCGCTCCCCATGGTGTCTGTGACCGTCGGGAGCGGGGATGGGGGGGGGGGGATGTGTGCGTGCGGGAGGTAGCTAAGTTTGGAGTTCAAATTTTCAAAAGTATCCAGATTTGGAGCTAGAATTCCCAAAATAAATAAATTTACAGCTAGATTTTAAAAAAAGAAAGACCCAATTATTTTGGGGGTGGCCACGAATTGGCTGCCCCCGAAATTTTATTGGTAAGTCCGCCCCTGATATCAGCCTATTATTGAGTCATATTTATTGCTTGAGGAACTATTGAACTTAAAACAGCCTTTGAAAGCACTTGAATTTACATGACCTAAAGAAATTTTCACCTCTTTGCTCAGGAAGGCCAGATGTCCTTAGTTTGTTTGTCAGCTAGGCTCCCAACAGATTAATTTCTGGCATTGTACTTTGGATTCAATGAGTAGTAAACATTGCGAATGTTTATTAAGAAGCCGTTTATTGTTTTGGTTGATCTTTTTCAGTGATTTCCTCGGGCGGTTATGTGGGAGGCTCTACGACGTCTTCCGACCTATAATTATTCACATAAACCACTTGGAAACACTGGCAGAGCTTTGCAGCATCCTAAAGGTGAGGACAAGTGTGCTCTTCGCTTCCCACTATTTTTTGTCCTGCACATTTTCTGTCCTGTGCATCTGACAAAGTTGTAAGGCAAAACGTTTCTCTGCTTTTCCTTTGTTGACGTCCTTAGGTGGAGATGATGGAGCAGCACATAGCAGCAAATCGTGAGTAGATCACGTACATTGAAATCTTGCATGAACGTCCTCCCCTGAGAGATTGCTCATCCCGTTTTTCTGGCTGAATATTCATAGGTTAAAAATTACAAATGATCATCCACTCAATTCCTGTTGGCCGTTACATGATGTCTGACAGGAACTGCAGCAATCGTGCAATATGCGATATTAATGCCCATGATATGCAAATTCGTAGCGGGTTCCCGTAAAGATTATTGCCTCATGAAAAGCGAATTTGCTGTGTTCACGATGGGCTGTATCGGTTCCCGTGACGTGCGAGCGCATAGCGGGTTTTTGCGTGTTTTTGCCACACCACGGAAGCCGAGTTTCGTTTGTACGCAATCTGCACATGCGATGTCGGTTCCCGTGTCATGTGATGCCTTAGCGGGTTCCTGCGTGTTTTATTGCAACGAGCAAAACAAATCTGCTGCACCTACGATCTGTGCTATCAGTTTCCATGTCATGTAATTTATAGCAGGTACCCCTCCTCCCCCTCCCCCCCCCCATGTTTATTGCTCAGTTTAAATATTGTTGTCGAATCCCCAAAGTTTAGCCACTCAATATTTTTCATACTTTATCTCTTCCCCCGTGGGTGGGGATTTTAAGGGAATGTCAGAGTAATTTGATATGCATGTCAGCTGTTGTCAGTGTGCACTGACGTAGGCTTTTATTTTCTAGCCAATGAACTTAGGGCATTTGGGAAAATTGCCCAGCAGATGCTCGAAGATGTGCAAGAGAGGCTGGTCTACAGGACATTGGTCTACATACGGACAGACATTCTGGGATACAATCCGGCGCCCGGTGACCTCGCATACCCGGAAAAACTGGAAATGATGGAGGTGCGTGTCAGATTGTATAGTCCTTGTGGAAACAATTTTCTGGGGGCGTTAGAAGTACTGACTTCAAGGGAATAAAGCTGTGCCTTCCTCGGAGATTTATCAAATACAGTCGAATCTCGTGAATTCAAACTCGAGGGGGACCGAAAATTTGTTCAAATTAAACGGAGTTCGAATTAAACGGAGTTCGAATTAAAGGAAGCTCATTAAATGGAGTACTTACGTGCAGCGCTGCGTTGGGCGGCGCATGTGCACTGAGCTAACACATGAGTGACGAGTTCCAGGACATTATATTTACACCGATCACCAACAGAAGTAATTCGTGATGCATGCCTGTGTGTGCGTGTCCCCCATTCGTGAGTGAACAAACATCGCTTGGAGCTTGGAGACTAGCTCTAACGCGGCATCAGCATTCTCTTGGCACGAAAAGTAGCGTGCGGTTGTGTCCAGCGCCGACTCTAGGTCAGTTGCACTAGGTGGGGGCATTTCTTTACTAGCATCAGAATCTTCACCACTGAGGGTTGAAGTGTCTTCAGGTGTGGCCTGTTGAAAGCACGTAGCCTGAATGACCTCGGCTTCAGTTATCCATGATGCTTGGAATCCAGATAACGTCAGTCGCAGGCCCACTGAAAACATGCCGAAGCGCAGCAACGCGCGAGTGCAAGGCAAGAAACGTAAACTATCGCGCTCCTGCCGGAAACATGCCGAAGCGCAGCAGCGTGCCAGTGCAACACAAGAAACGTAACTGTCCGCAGCCACCGAAAAATGCCGAACCGCAGCAGCGCGCGAGTGCAAGGCAAGAAACGTAACTGTCGCACCCTTGCCGAAAACTAACTGAAAACACGCTGAAGAGCAGCGGCGCAGCACCATCACTGTGCAAAAGAGAAAACGACAACCACTGCTGCCAGCACCGCACCGCTCATCGCAGCATTCAAGGCCACCACGTGATCGGTCGTCATGGTTACTTGGAACTGAAGTTGGGAGTAGCAGCTGGCGCACGGCGTAGCGCAGCCACACTGCCTGGTCGGAGGCGCTGCCGCGTGAGTTAGCCCGCTCCTGAGTGCATGGTCGGCGGTGCGGGATGTTCGAATTAACCAGCGCGAACGCTTAAGCGTTCGAATTACGGGGCATTTTTGCACATTGAAATACATATAGTGTGGACCAGACCACGGCTTCAGTTCGAATAAATCGAAAGTTCGAATTAAGCTTGTTCGAATTAACGAGATTCGACTGTATTGTTTTATGCTCGATACATGTTCAGTTCGGCGACAGTTTGCAGAGCTCGTCATTAAATCTCCTATAAGTGTTCATGTACTATTTCTCGCCAGCCCAAACAACGTTTCCTTCAATATCCCAGTAATATTCTCATACATACAATGTCCCAGTTATATATTATTTCACCGCTTTTGAACTAAATATTTTAAAGTTTTTAATGTTTATTAAAACAAACATTGAATAGTGCTTTTTTTCCTATGTAATGTATTGTCTTTCTTCATAGTTGAGTATATTATTGCTTGAAAATTTGTGTTATGGTGTTGAATGCATTTTCTATCAAATGATCACGTACCTACACCACTCTCCCGCAGCAGTTCCCTTTTGGGCGCTGCTGGATAAGCCGAATAAATAACGATACATACACCGGTACAGAACATAGCGCTATTCTGGGTCTTGCGGGGTTCACGTAGACCCCGTGTTGCATGCTGCCAGAGGCTTCTAATACTACCGTAGATGCAGAGCACACGAATCTTCAAACAGCGTTCCTAGAACACATGGATTCCCTGGAGTGCCTTTATGGGTTTCCAGCCACACTCGGCCATCCCCGCCCCCAAAGTACCGTATTTACTCGCATAATGAACAAACTCGCATAATAAATGCTCCCCCGAAACGGGTACCAATATTTGGGCTTTTTTTTTTCCCTCGCGCAACGAACGCACCTCCAATATTCGGCTCCGCGAGTCTCAAATTGCGTCCAATTGAGCTAACCACAAAGTCAATTCTTTTTTTTGCCGCCAAGCGTTCAGGTCAAGTCAAGCCAAGCCGCTCTTGTAATGGCTGCAAGAGGCCGCAAGTGCGTAGTTGCAAGAGTGATCAACCGTGAAATCGAGCGGCTTGCACACTTGATGAAGCTTGGGTCAAGGAATTGCCCAGCCCCGGACATTCTTCACCTTTCAGATGCATTGATGTCAGCCAACACACCGTCGTCTATGGTCCGCTTTCGTACAGTGAGTGAAAGTGGTTAGGCTTAAGAACGGTCGCCTTGCTCTCCGTGCCGAGTGAGCTTCGTAGGGTGCTTTTTCTTCAACAGAAGGCACGCCAAAAGCGCCCTAAAAAAGGTAATTTATAGAGCCGGATTACTGTGGCGCGCCCACGACCAGCCGTGGGCGCGCCTCCGTACACTGAAGACGTTCCACAATACCCTGCCATGTCATATTGGCACCTAAAATGACATTTGCGCAAAATGTGTAAATGCAAAAATTTTACCCCGCGTAATGAACAACACCCAAATAAAGGTAAATTTTTTGGAAAAAAAAGTGTGTTCATTATGCAAGTAAATACACTAAATCGTTTTTTTTTTGTTAGTTTAGGTATTATTTTAGCAGACATCCATTGATGCGTAACTATGAGCTAAACACCCGGTAGTGCACACACTTTTGTTTACGTTGTCTGTAGGCACATTTAATGTTTTAGCAAGACTGGGCAGGGATTCCTTGGCTAATTGTCGAGGGAATAACGAAACCGCCAAGAAACCGATCCGTGGGTCGCACCGAATCCGCAGAGCATCGCAGAAAGCCTCGCCCAGAACTCCCTGAGTCGTTCGAGCTCTCACGGATCTCTGGTCTCGATCGGGTCGTCGGCCTCTGGCACTTTTGTCGGTGGGGCCGCCCCAACATCACTGGGCAAGCAGGAAGGGGCGGCGGTGCTGCAGGTGTCCTCCTCCGAACACGTCACCGAGGCGGCTGGCAACATGACGCAGACCACGATGGCGGGCGTGCAGAACTCGGAGGCAAAGCACAAAGGATGTGAGTCACATTTCCCACTTTCATTACTGCTCAGAAAATCAGTTCGATTCAATGTTTATCGCTCGCAAAGAAACTTGTACAGGGACAGGCCTGCCAAAGCCAAATGGGGCTCGACCGGCGGTGCCTAGAAGTTATTGCGATGAATGTGGAGCCAGAACACGCAATGTAAGAATACAACCGAAAAATAAAAAAATGAGAAGGAAGAATTGAAAGTAAATGGAAAAGTCTCATTGCTATCCAGTATTTCTGACGGCTTTCTTTAGCTAGACTTTGTTCTTACGTTATGCGTGCCTGAGCGTGGTGCTACTCCCGAGTGCGGATTATTTAAAAATGTGGCGGGTGAGAGTGGAGTTGCTCACAGTGGAGTAGGTACTTTTGCTGTGAAATGTGTGGACCACTGGTCACTTAAAGGAGCCCTGCAATTACTTTTTTTACTAATTTTTATTTTACACCGAACCTGAGCGCACTGAACGTAGTAACTTAATGAAACTTTTTTTTTTTTCTCGAATTTTGCTTTATTTTTAAAGACATAGGCAAATTAAAATTACAAAAACAAACAAAAATAACCTCCTTCATGATGTCCTTGGTTGCTTGAGTGGCCGTGAACTAGAGGAGGGGTATACTTCGTTTCAGCTTCCGTCCGAGCGCAGCCAAAGCTACGTGTGGCCGGAGCCAATCACACGCCGGCAATAGGTCACGCGATCTTGCCTGCACTTTTGTATCACTCCGCTGCGCTGCCCGCTCTCGCCGAGTATTTCGTCTGCTACGGGTGTACCAACTGTATCGTCTGCGACGGTTTAAAAAGTGCCCTTTCACATTCTGAAACTTAGTCACAGGGGATGTCGGTACGTAGGCTGGCCGCTGGCATTTGTGTCCGAGCTTTCCACCTGTTCGGCATAGTTTCGAGTTGTGAGTACACGTTGCAAGGTCCCCAATGACCCGGCCGTTGACGTTTCCTTGTATTGTTTGGATATACCAGGGCTCGAGGCGCAGTCCTTTCCACCAGCTTCTCGGCTTTCAATGTGATCGGCAGGTAAAGGGGTGCCATGATTTCGCCGCGTATCTGAATTGTTGTGGCCCGGACGCTTTGCTTGTTTACAACGCATTCGCGGTACAACGCGGCCGGAGCGTCCTGCCGAATTTGAAAGTGGACATTCAGCACGACTTCTCGCGCCTGACGCCCAAACGTGCCTTTGCGAAGGGCGTTTTGAAGCGATTCGACCATCGATGAGGAAAGCAGCGAAGCACATGATTCGGCGATTACGGGAACAAAATCACAGAAGAACCGGGCGCTGCAGCCGTGTTGCCAGCGGATATACATGTTTTCCCCAAACCACATGCATTTACATATATTAATAGAAACATAAACTTCAGAGATTTGATTCCTTTAGTTGCAAATCATTTTCAGCAGTACACATCTGGAACATTGTGCAGTTTTTACGCCCAAAACAGTTATTTTAAAAGAAATTATTTTTGTGAACTACTTTGTGGTTCATAGGAATGCTCTTCTCGAAGTTGCAAACCGTCCCTCAGCCTTTGGTTGCGCTCGGACGGAAGCTGAAACGAAGTATAGTTAGCTCAGCGAGCGCTCACGACTGCCGCACTCCTTGTCGACGGCGCAAGAGGGCGCCACTAATGCATGTTCTGCATAGGCTGTATGCAGCAGGCAGCCAGGGCGGCTGTCATTGCATTTGCTGCGCTATTAAACACTAATTCGGCGTGACACTTCATTGGCCACAAACGACAGCAAACACGGAGTAAATATCAGTTCAGAATGGGAGCCACCTCATGCTGCCATACTGCGAAATGGCCAAACCGCCAGACAGAGCTGCTCGCCGAAGGCCTTCGGAACGCTCGGAGCCGGTGGGATCCTCCAGTCCCTACGATCGCAGCGCCGCCGCGTACATCCGAGACCTTTTCGTGTCGGCACCTGATCCCATTACTCCTTTTCAGTATGCGCCGCCTTTTTCACCGCTTGGTGGCAAGTATGTCGACGGGTCATTTTTTGTTTCCGTACTTTATAAACTGCATTTGTTTCTTTTCCTATCTAAAATACTGAACAGAAAGTACTTTTATAAATAATTGAAACGGTTTGCGCCACTTATATTTTGTATTTTGACTAAAAAGAAGCTTTTAGCGGCTCTGACCAGTAGTAAGCCTAGGACCAAAGACGTCACATATTCCGCGCTTTCGGTACCGCGGGTCGCCCCCGTCAGTGGAGGAGGTTTCCGCGTCGTCAGGTTGAAATATGATGCACTGATATTTAGCTACTCTCTCCATGCCCGCTGGCTTTCCCGAACCCCTAGAGACATGGAAACCGCAAAAAAGATAGACGCTTAAACATGATTGCAGGGACCCTTTAATGGTTGGTCAGACATTTGTATTTATGTGTGACCAGCTATGATTCCTTTCATTCTACTGTGATGCATTGCGTGTAACTCGTCTGCCACAGCGAGCCGTCTCATTGAAAGCAGTCACTAGCCGTCGTAATGCAGTCGGTCACACTGAGAAGCATATGTGTGAATTGGCTTTTAGTGTTTGTTAAAACTTTTATTTTCTTATATTAGCTTTCAAGCTACTGAATGTTGGGGAGAAAAAAGAACCACGCTTTTTTCGTTGCAAAAACGAACTGTGCATCGCCCTAATAGACCAGGTGCCACAGTTTCGGAACTTACCATTACCTAATTTGAAAGTTGTGAGCGAATTTGAGAAACTTTCTATTCGAAAATGGGGTTTGTTCTCAGTGGCAGATGCTGTTTTTCTTCATCTCAATATCTGCATAGCTTTGGTGGTCATCTTTTTCTCACCGAAAACTTCCGAAAATGGCTTAAATCTTTTTAATCGGGTAAGAAAAACTCTGAAGAGCAGAATAGGTTGATCCCTCTGAGCTAACATCATTATGTACAGCAGAACTCTGAATTCCAAACAGAGCTTAATTGCGAAGTGTTTATTTCCTGTCAAATTTCTAATGCAGATTCCCCAGCTGACTTGCATGGAATGTGGTATCCTACCGTGCGAAGAACGCTGGTTTGCCTCTCCAAACTTTACCGGTGCCTAGACGTAAGTTCCAGTTGTTTCTCTGAAGATTTTTTTTCCAAGCAGTACATAAATTGCTTTGTTTTTTGCCCGCAACGTTGTATGCATGAGCACCCGAAACTTATGTTGCATCGAGAAGAGTTTAGGTAGGATGCAGGCTCAAGCTTGAAGCTAAATGATGGGCACAAAGAGTATGAAACATATAGAAAGTAGAAGTTGATATACAATGAAGTGAAAATTACTGACTATTTTAGAAACCTGATGATGTGTCTGATTTATATGTCCACTTGGTGCCGGAAACTGTAACAAATAATAAGATTACTGGGAGACTAAAAGAAAATAGGGTGGAAAATAGTTTCCACACTATTCTTGATTATGGATGCAGGGTTATTTTTTAGAAGTCTAGAATGTAAAAAAAGGGAAATTGCATTAGGGTATTTTTAGCCCTATGTAGAATTAGTGTAGAGCCCTAGTGGTCATGGGGGCCGCTAGAAAAGAGGTGAAATTGGCTAATTAGCTAGCTAGTCAACTACTGTAAAGTTCCAAAAGAATGCCCATCCAAAATGAAGAGATAAATGGTGAAAAACATGAGGTGGGCTATCTTTAGGGTTGCCACAGCAAAACTTTGTCAAAAATTAATGATAAACACCGGGCACCCGCTGCAAACCACGTGACGCGGGAACTGATACTCTAAATTGCGGACACCGCAAATTCGCCTTTCACGATGCGATAAACATTCGGGAATTTGCTACAAACTCCTGTGTCATGGGAAAGGATACCGCAGGTTGCGGATGCAGCAGATTTGCGTTTTACCGTGTGAAGCACCCTCGGAAACCCGCTGAGAACTCGCATTTCACGGGAACGAATATCGCAAATCACAAACGCAGCAGATTCAAGTTTTAAAGACGTGGGAACCACTACACAATTGCCTGTCATGGGAACCGATATTGCGCACTCAGATTGCAGACAAAGACACGGGAATTCGCTACAAACTTGTATGTCCTGGGAACGAATACCGCAGATCATGGATCAGCCAAATCGTATCTCACGATGCAATACACACGCGGGACCAGCTCGCGTGCTATTGGAGCCGATATTGTGCGCGCAGGTCGTGGACAAAAACACGGGAACCCGCTATGAATTCGCTTGTTAGACATACCGGTACACCAGATCGCACGGCGGAGGCAATTCCCGTCTAATATCGTGTGACGTCCGACGGCAATCGGGGGATCGGGCAATGTTTTGGAATTTTTATGACACAGATATTTATCCAGAAAAACGGGATGGTCGATCTCTCGGGGGCGGGTACTCTCTCGGAACTTTACGGTTAGAATCTTCGACTAACTTTATAATTTCAACTTTTGGGGCATAAGGTAATTGGAGAATCGACGCTCAACCTTATTATAATATAGTCGCGACGTGAAATTTTCATTAAACAATTCGTGGAGGTCGTTGCGGGAAGAGGAATGTCATCCTTATGCCGAAAAGGGCCTCTGTGATGTCAATCCCCTCGCTTTTCGCTGGCTCCAGAACACACATGTCTGCGTTACGGTTAACATGAGCAATGCGATGCAAGCAGAGCCTAAAGGGCAATTCACACACTTGCGTTGAGTCCGACCGAGTAAGAGGGTTTCTATGGCGACAGCTATGTCAGCTCCAACAAAAGTGATTTTTACCCCGTTTTGTTGGAAACGACGCAGCTGTTGCCATAGCAACCCTCACAATTGGTCAGACCCAACGCAAGTGTGTGAATCGCCCTTAAGAACTTTTTTGTGGCAGGCTGTCCGCTTGCACTGACTTTGCTGCTTCCGCCGGTTCCTTCATCGCTGCCCGCACTCGCTCTCGTCAAATGATTTAGCAAGAATTCTGTCATCGCCCTCATCATCTGTAGTCAACTGAGCTTAATCAACAACTGTTAAGGCCTTAATATTGAGACGCATTAAACAGGAAATAATTGCACACTTCCTTTTGCAATCTAAACGGAATGAATGCTTAATAACGTGACAGCTGGTAAGTTCATTGAGTGGCATCGTATCAGCAAATTCTCACTCAACGCTTTTCTGTTAGCAAACAAGCGCTCATTGTCCCCATAATGTGTACTCACCACACGTCTAGCAAAATCGCACATACCGTATTTGCTCGCACAATGAACGCACTCGCGTAATGAACGCACCCCCCAAGTCTGCTCTCAAAATTTTGACTTTTTTTTCACTCGCGTAATAAACGCACCCCCAACTCGGACGTCAACATTTTGACCCCCTCCCCCCACGCGCGCGAAATGAACGCACTTTTCTATCCTGGTGCAGCGAGGTCGCGAATGCATGGGCAGCGTGGGCGAACAAAAAGCCTTGCAAAAGGCGTTAAAAAAGTTCGCAAAGATCCAACGGAAGCAAGAAAACAAAAACATGGAGAGGAGCTTTTTTTTTTTTTTTTGCACAGCGCAGTCTGGATTTTGGGTTCGCGCGCCGCCGCGCGCAAGGAGGTAAGAAAGAGGAGCGGAGAAACGCTTAAGCGAACGAAACAGCTTGCGAAAGACGGCAAGAAAAAAAAAAACAAAAAAAAACACGGAACTAAGAGAAAACAAAAACAAAGAGGAGTTTTTTTCAGGGTGTCGAACCGGAACCGAACCGAACCGAAAACCGGAACCGAACCGGTATTTTCCCCGGAACTGAACCCGAACCGTTATATTGTTATCGCGATGAACCCGAACCAGAACTGAACCAGAAAAAAAATAACGGTTACCGGCTCATGTCAAAACGGTTCGGCCACGCGCCGTTGACAATGAATGTGTTATCAATGTGCTATCAATGCCATTTGTTTTTTAAGTGCCGTCAACTGACACACACCTCGCTTACATATTTTTCTTCTCCACTCAGTCTTAGGAATATAAACCTGCATCCATGAATCTTGACAAACGCTGCATCCATGAATCTTGACATAGGAACCAGTATTGCGGTGGTCGCGGCTTGCACGGAAGAAAAAAAATTAAAAAACTGTGCAAAAAAAAAAAAAAAATCGCACCACGGGATTTTATTTTCCTACAATCTCGTAAATCCTAAATGCTGCTGTGTGCTCATTTCATAACACGTTTCTAAAACGCGCGAGTTCTTGAAGCTTGCTTCCATCGGAATGAGAAAAGAAAAGGCTGTGGAGTTTGATAATAATGCATCCGGTTTCGTATAGGCACTTAGAAGCTAAAATATTTGTGTGACAGCGAACTCTTCTATTTTAATATTTATCCCATTACGTCCTTCTGGCGTTGCGTTTGGTGAAGTGTTTTGCATATTCCGTATCTTGTTTAATCAAAACTTCTTTAAGGGTCTAATAGACTACTTCCATAAAGCCCTGCATGCAACACGGCGCGCGTTGCACTCTGGGAACTAGTTGGCCAGGAAGGAGGGTGGCATGGTTTCGGTTTCGATCGACACGTCGACAAGAGATTATACACCGAGCGTGGGCTATTAACGGCCGTGATCTCACGTTTGCTGGTCCCGAGAGCGGGATTTGTGATCTCTAAACTAACCTAAATGGCCAGACCTCGAAGGTTTAGCACAAGCCTGAGACGTATAGCTTGTCTTAACACATGCTTGTTGTAATTTTGTACTTGAGCCTTCCTGTTAGCGTTCCAATCGAGGTATGTGGACGAGGCAGTGCTGGGAGTCTCGACACTGCGAAGCTCGGGGATCTTGCTTGTGAACGAATCAACAAGCTGTAGCAACCAATAAGTATGCGTACATTGAGCTCGCGCCTTTACATTAGTGTTGTTGATCAGGAAGTTTGTTTGTTTCGTGCGCCCATAGACGAAATATTACTTTTTGCAATTACTGTTTTTCTTAATATGCCTGAGTATGCGAGGTAAAACTCGGAGGCGCCATTTAAAAGCTCAATTTTAACACACTTATCTATATATCACTCTAAAAAAAAGGGGGTGTAGACGTTACACCCCTTGTCACATATACGACACCCCAAAACTTCAGTTGTTTGTACAGCGCAATGATGTTGTACGGGCGCTACCAACTTTCACGAGCGGCTTGATAGCCGAGTTGCACAACTCATTAAAATGGCTAAGGTAGGTGTGACTGATTGCAAAAAAAGTTACCGGGGTTTTCTAGGCTGAACTGCAAAACCTGTGTGTGTTTTTCCCTGTAGACTTCCATACATACTTTAGCTGTTTAATATGTTAAATTGCCCCGTCATCAACCCTCTTGCAAAAGTTGGGGCAGTCAATTCGACGTCAGCACGCTGTACGTCGAACTGAAGTTTTGGGGTGTCGTATATGTGACAAGGGGTGTAACGTCTACACCCCCTTTTTTTTAGAGTCTTATCTGTACTGACCCGCAGCACTGCACGAAGTGAAGTCCCCACCCGCTTGCATTCCACTAATATTCAACATTGCGTATGCGCATAAAGTTATCCTGCAATCATATAGGCGAGTTCGCACATACATACCATTTTAAGAAAGCAAAAGTCTAGCACTTGTGTGAGGAATGTCGCACCGTTCGCCGGGAAGTGCACCGGACGGGCATGAACCCCTATGCGGTGCGCCCAACGAACGAATTCAAAGTGCGTTTGACGGTTGCTAATGGCCATAATATTTGTTATGTGTTTGCTTTCTTCCTGCCTGAGTATGCCGAGATAATTTCAGACACACCGTTCAAGCACAGATCTTGGGCGTCAGTAAAAGCTCGTCCAAAAAGGCTTAGCGAGGAGTAGGGGACGCTTGTTAGGGCCTCCGTCGTAGCTAGCCGATCTCAGCGTTTGCGAAAAGTTAATCTTCTATCTGCATAAAATTTGAGTGGGAGATATATGATGACACAAGGAAGACTTCATAGTAACTTTTGTGCAGTGGTGAGGTCGAATTTATTGCGTTCCCTTAAAAGTTCATGCGTAAACGCTGGGCTCAACTTTGATACCCTGTGAGGATGCAGCTTGCTTTTCGCCCAATGAAGGAACAAGAAGCGGACGTTTGGCAAACATAATATGTGTAAGGCTCCAGATGAACAAATTTCAGTTCTAGTTCACTGGTACTAGACAGGATTATTGAAATTGAGCTCAAACATGCACTCGTGGGGTGAGGTGACTAAGCCACGACTTACTACGTTTGCATACGCACGCACAATATCCAGTGTTTCGGGAACCAAGGAAAGTGCCCCGGTATTCGTTTTGTATAGCTCGAGAATGAGTGCATTGTACGTTCGTGAAAAGTCTGATAATCGAAAACGCAAGCAGCGCGTTCGGTCGCGGCGTGATAGCATGAGATGAAGCTGCTCAGTCGAAACCGAAACTGAGTGGCCAACTAGTTCCCAGAGTGCACTGCGTAGTATTTCGCCGCGATGGGGCGCGTCGGTTTTGGAAGAAGTCCATTTGAGTTACCGAAGGCTAGTTCAAATAAAGAAAGCTGTATTTTCTCCCCACTGTTCCTTCAATTGCCTACACGCCGGGGTGGCGGGATAGTTAGCGAGTTCTACTTGTAAGTGGGTTTGTAAGGAGGTCGCGGATTTGACAGCTACTGCGTCGTCCGAATGCGTAAACGTCGGTGAGGTAACCTTTGGGTGCACATAAAGAAACCATTCCTGGTAGAAATCCCTGAGCCTTACACTACGATGTATCCCGTTTCGTATGTGCTGATTTCAGATGTTTTATTTGTAATTTATTTTGATGTTGCAATTTGTCATTTATAATTTCCGAACCGGTTCGCGAACCGGTTCGCGGATTGAATTAATCGAACCGGAACTGAACCGGAACAAAATAAATTTACCTGAACCTGAACCGTAACCGAACCCGTATTTTTTTCGGTTGGACACACTGGTTTTTTTTTTTGTTTTTTTTGCACAGCGCAGTTTGGTTACGGGGGAGGGGGGGGGGGGGGTCGCGCGCCGTGCGCAAGGAGGTAAGAAAGAGGAGCTGAGAAGCCCTCTAAGCAAACGAAACAGCTTGCGAAAGGCGGCAAAAAGAAAACAAAAACAAAAAAAAAGAAACTACCCACGGAACTGAGAAAAAGAAAAAAAAGGAGCGTATTTTTTTTTTTTTTTTTTTTTGCACAGCGCAGTTTTGTTACGGGGGGCCGCGCGCAAGGAGATAAGAAAGATAAGCGGAGAGCCCTCGCCTAAGCAAACAAAACAGCTTGCGAAAGGCTGCAAAAAAAACAAAAAAACCCAAGGAACGAAGAGAAAAAACAAGCAAAAAAGAGTTGTTTTTTTTTTGCACAGCTTAGTTAGGTTACGGCGGGCGCCGCGCGCAAAGAGATAAGTTACTTCGATTTTTTTCAGCATAAAAGGTCGTTCATTATGCGAGTAAATACGGAGGCAAAACCTTTACTTCGCGTAATGAACGCCCCCCCCCCCCCCCCAACTTTGCATAGATTTTTCGTAAGAAAAGTGCGTTCATTCTGCGAGTAAATACGGTATGTCGTGTAATCGGCAACACCATTGTTCCAGTGTGGCATCGGAGGCATACTTTTGTTGTACTGTACAGTAGGTTGGGGGATTGCTACATTTTCGTCCAAAGTAGCATCCTATTAAAAAAAAACTTCAATTTTTTTATGTGTAGTTCATTCATAAGAGTAGAAATGTTTGTATACTGCCACACTTTTGCACAGCGACTAGTCTGTTGAGACACCAATTGACAGAAACAAACACGCTCCATCCCAACAGAACAGTGGCACCTCAGGTTATGGTTCTAAGGTATGTCTCGCAGGATATCTGTTTATGTGTAATCTTACTTCTATGTCTTCCTCATGCATGCATTGGACTGCCAACTGGTGAAGGTTCAATATGGGCAATTATCTACCTCCTGTTGTGTTAGGTGACAGCCATGTTTACCCATTTTGACCTAAAAATGTGGTTCTGTTGTCTCTACTTGCAGAAAACAATCTTCCAGGGGCTCAGCCAGGAAGTCCTGGCCATGTGCATAGAGTCTCTCTCAGCTGCTGGGAAAGAAATTTCGAAGAACAAGGTAGCTTCTGTTTGCATTCATCTGTGTTCTCCACTTGGCAGAGATGTTCGATTTACACTTGTTTTTATCATTTACTTCAATTACTCTGCTACTTTGCTTTGTAGCACCAAAGTATGATGAATTGAATGGTACATTGTGTCAGCACTTACATTTTTAGTTTTATTCGTGGTAAAAGTATAAATGGAGGAAAAATAATACGTATTTACTTGCAAATGAACGCACTTTTTTTTCCCGAAAAATCAATGCAAAGTTGGGGGGGGGGGGGGCGTTCATTACGCGAGGTAAAAGTTTTGCCTCCGTATTTACTCGCATAATGAACGGACCTTTTATCCTGAAAAATCGAAGTAACTATTTATCTCTTTGCGCGCGGCGCCCGATCCCGTAACCTAACTAAGCTGTGCAAAAAAAAAAAAAAGTTTTTGTTTTTTTTGTTTCTTGGGGTTTTTTTTTGCCGCCTTTCGCAAGCTGTTTTATTTGCTTAGGCGAGGGCTCTCCGCTTACCTTTCTTATCTCCTTGCGCGCGGCGCGCGACGCACGACCCCCCCCCCCCCCCCCCTCCCTTCCCCCGTAACCAAACTGCGCTGTGCAACAAAAAAGGAAAAAAAAAAGAAAGCTCCTCTTTTTCTTTTGATTTTTTCTCAGTTTCTTTTTTTTTTTTTTTGCCGCCTTTCGCAAGCTGTTTTGTTTGCTTAGAGGGCTACTCCGCTTCTCTTTCTTACCTCCTTGCGCGCGGCGGCGGGCGAACCCAAAGTCCAGACTGCGCTGTGCAAAAAAAAAAAAAGCTCCGCTCCATGTTTTTTTTTTGCTTCCCTTGGATCTTTGCGAACTTTTTTAACGCCTTTTGCAAGGCGTTTTGTTTGCCCACGCTGCCCATGCATCGCGACCTCGCTGCACCAGGATGGAAAAGTGCGTTCATTTCGCGCGCGTGGGGAGAGGGGGTCAAAATTTTGACGTCCCAGTTGGGGGTGCGTTTATTACGCGAGTGAAAAAAAAAGTCGAAATTTGGAGAGCCGACTTGGGGGGTGCGTTCATTACGCGAGTGCGTTCATTGTGCGAGTAAATACGGTAACTAAGAAATATGAGTGGCATGTGCCATTGTTTTGTATGAAGGCAATGGGTTGACTATCGGTCTGGTATAATGTTGCTCCTTATGGTGCTGTGGCATGCAAAATATTGTTTGCCACACCAGTTTTTACAAAAGAAGTTTACAGAGGGATTTTCAGGAAACATGCTTATATCGTTGTCAGTGCGACTAGGATTCCAAGTTGCACGTTCCTTTGAGTAACATCTTGCGAGAAGTTTAGATATCGTGTAAAATTGAAGTAGCAGAATATTTTTGGTATTTGCTAATTCTTTTTTCCTCCGGGGAGAGTTAAATGTAGTTCTCTGAATGTGTTCATTACAACCGAGACTCAGCGGAAAGGTAATGCTAGTTGGTGGTGATAAATCATTGAAGTTGTTCTCCTGGATGCAAGTCCTAAATCGAAATTGAAAATTGCCTACGAGCTGGTGATATACGTTGCGGTGCCATTTAGAGCATTTGGTAATGTAGCGGGCTTGGTTTCTGTCACTACATAAACCAAGCCGCAAGAAAAATGCTATATAAGTCACTGACAAGCTGAGAACAGCACAGAAGAGCACCAGTTGTCCCGCCTTCGGCACGAGCTTCATGCCTTCAAAAAAACGCTTTGGCGTCTTGTGCACCTCAAGTGTGCGCGTGCAGCCATAGCACATCAACATGGTGTGTGTGCTGGAGCCCGAGCTTTCAAAAGACACACCCTGCCGTTCTCGCTTTGTCAGTGACCATAGTCTCTCATGCCACTCGCAGTGGGGGATAATGGCACCACCTCTGCGCTTTAAAGTTGCTGGAAGTTGCTTCCCTTTTTTTTTTTTTTGTTTAACTCTCCTCACATTTTCTGAGCATTCTAGACCTTACCAGTATCACTGGCATTATCTCTGGACAAAGTTTCTACCTTATCCAAAGTGGAGCACAAGTTTGTCTGCTTCTTGCACGGGCGTTGCGTTGATGGCAGAACGCTGAGCTCCTATTGGCTGATTGAAGAAAATAGTGGGTAGACCTCGAGGCATCTGGTAGCAGTGAAGTTCACCCACTACCGTTTTAATCAAAGCCAATCAAAGCTCGGCGTCGTTCTGACATCACCGCAACTCCTGCGCAAGAAACAGACGACTTGCTCTCCACATACATATTATATCCTGCACCTGTTTATGGCTACGTCCTGTGCATTCACTTGCCTGCAGAGCAGGTCGGAGCGTTTTGATTTTTGGAAAGAAGCCAGCACTGAGACAGCTCAGATAGTAATGTTTGGACTGAAATCGGCAAGCTGTACGAGATTACCGGTTACGACATTTACTTGCTCGCCGTCGCAGGATTCACTAAGATGCACGGGCCTCCTTGATAAGCAGGTGTGGGCTATAGACGAGGAGATACGGCATTTATGCAAACTGCAGAAACCTTCCCGAAGTTTTCATATGCACCCATCTGATATAACATTTTGAACTGCAAGCTTTAGTCAGGGCTGTTATTCCTGGTTTAGCAAGTCTATAATTTTTTTCCCAAAGGTTTCATGATTTCTGTTGTTTTATTTCTTGTGTACAGACCCCACTAGATGGGGAGCTCTTCCAGATCAAGCACCTGCTGATTCTACGTGAGCAGATCACTCCTTTCCAAATCGACTTTGCCATTCGGGAGACATCACTAGACTTCACAAAGATCAGAGGTGTGTTCCATTTTATTTTTATTTTTTTATCATGCAGATGGCGAAAACTCTCTCTTGACGTTCACATTCGAGACTAAAAGAGCCACGACATTCAGTGCTGTGCCTTACAAGCATGGCCAGTCGAATCAGTGACACTTCTATGAAGCGCTAGTCCTGTCCTGTCTCTTTCATGTTCCTGTTTTATTGCATTATTGTATATATGTAGCAATTAGGTACAGTGACTGCCACTTCTATAGTTGGCGACAGGTTAAGGACCCAGTAAAAGCGCCACCTCCAGAACACACTCATTTTCTCTTGCCGGGCCTTGGCTACACGTGCAACGAAGTGTTATCAGACGAAAAGCTCCTGCTTGGAGTAGAGCATATACTGGGTCCTTATGCTGTCACCGACTATAGAGCACACTGCATTAAACCAGAAACCGACGTTGGAAGCGCATTTCACGCGGTAACTTTTAATTTTGGAGTGCCATCTATCAGCCAACTCCTTGTCTGTACGGAAAAAGACGATAACTGGAGGGTGTAGCAGCGCGGCTCGTCCGTCAAATTGAATGTTGCATGGTACTTTTATGCCACAATCACATACTTTGGCATTGCCTCATTTCCAAAGGGCTGCCCTTAGGTGAATCGCTGGGAAGACATACTTATGAGAGACGGGCGTTACCTCGAAACTACCGAAACACGTTTAAATTTGGCTGCCGAAAGTGGTAAAGGATCTTGAGAAATAGTCAAGGGCTCACAGATTTATCTCTCACCTACCGTAAAATACTGTGCAAGTGCCCACTCAAAATTTAGAGATAATCACGAAAAAATGGGGGATGGGCGCTTGTCCAGTCATCAATTTTACATATCAATGTACTGTGCATATTTTCTCAGATCTTACAAATTCGGGTATGGGCGCTTAGTGTGGTATGGGCGGATGCACGGTATTCTACGGTAGCTTACCTTATCCTTATCAACTGCACGAAAAGTTTGCTTGCCACAAACAACTTCTGCATCACCTACCTCCCCTCTTGGGAGTGTGTTTGCTGTGATTTGGTTTTGAAACTGCCCTGCAATCCTTGCTAGGTAGAGAAGTTAGAACTCCAAAATATGTTTATTTTGCTTTTGAAGCAACTACTATGTAATTCATATAAAAATCTAGGCATGAAAATATTTCATAGTATAACATTATGGAAGCTCCCAAGTTTAGCTCATGCATCACTAAGACCGAAGCGTACCCTCTCTAGTATGTTGTGTTTGTATTATTGTTAATAACATCTATTTAAATGGCTTGACTATTATTTATAGGGTTTCTTGACAGCTTCTTTTCAAGGCGACCATTCTTAGTTTCACCTTAAAGGGATACTGCAATGAAATTCCAGTGCCTTTTTATTAGAGAGTTTTAGTAGATCGCTTTGGGTCTCCCGCTATGCTATACGCTAGAGCAGGGATCTCAAACACGCAACCCGCGGGCCGACATGCGGCCTGCGACTTGCTGGGATACGGCCTGCAGGAAACTGGCTACGAGTCCTGGTTCCCATGTCTCGAGCGCTAGAAATGGCATGCGCCATCGTGATCTCATCTTGCCGATTCATTTTCGCTCAAAAAGTTGCTCCTTTCTTTTAACCTGTTCACATAGCTTTTGCATATCTTTGTTCATTTGCACTTCGTTTCGCTTTATCTTTTGCTTCCCAGCTTTTTGTATTGACAACAATTCCGGTACTAGGCTGCAAAAGCAAGCTCTTTGTTGAAGAATGCATCTCGGATGCACAAACTCTGGATCAGCAAAGCAACTGCCGAAGATAAAGCTACGAGCTCGGGATTCTCGGCTTAAAAAAATTATCACCATTAAAAGACAAGTATGGGTGTTGTAATAGAAATCGTCAAGAAAGCAAGAACTGTCAAATAACTGATTGTTTTTCAACGACATGTTGAGCTTGGTTAACTCCTGAGTGATTGAGCAACGGGAACGACAGTGTACATGATCTCTTGTTTTTTTAAAAATGTGAGCACGTTGGCGGGGAAAGGTCATTTTAATTATTGTTATCAGATCAGGTAAGGGCCCAAAATAGTCTTATAAACGAATCAAACGTAAAAATGGCACTGGCAAAACTGAGTTTACAAAAAGCATAGAGCACAAGGTGTCTTCTCCTTTAAATCTTTTGACCCCTCCCCTCCGTCTAACTTTGGCCTCCGGCCTTCCCAATGTCGGCTATCTGACCCCATGCCCAAATGAGTCCGAGACCACAGCGCTAGAGCGATGACGTTATTGCGCATGCACGCTGCTAGTGGAGGCGCGCTATCTGACCAAAATAGCGAGGAGTGTAGTGCGCGTGCTAGCGTGGGTCTCGCGAGAATGAGTCTTGGCGTGATAAGGGAGAGCCAGCGAGGGACGCAATTCAAGATGGCCACCACGCCGCGCCTGTCTGGTTTGTCCGCTTCGCGATCATGGTTCTGAGGGGCGGATTATATCTTGCTGCTGCGAGAAGTAGCCGTGACAAAGTCGTTCCAAGACTGCAACTGTAGCGATTTATTGCAGACATGTTAAATACGGCCACGGGGGAGAAAACAAGGTTCAGAATCCGCGGTGCTGCGAGTGAAACGTGCGGCCTCCTGCGGCCATGCGTTTGTGCCTTCAACTTTGCTCGGGACATGGGATGAAACGAAGGATGGGAATTTCTCGAGACCAAAATGCTTCCACTTGTTGTAAATTAAGTGATGGACATGCAACTTGTGGAACATTACTCTCGCTAAATATTATATGTTGGTACAAGCCCCCTGCAAGCTATATCAGTTGGTTTAAAAGTCTACAACATGCGCATATGCAAAATAAAGGTATATTGACAGAGGTGTAATCACCCTAAATCATATTCGCCATTTATTTTAGAGGCTGCACTGAGCTTATACAACAAGAAATCAAGACTGTTCTCCTTTGGGACCAACAATGCACTCTTGGAGTTTGTGCTTGAGGCAAGTACTGCTACTGCCGTTCTTTAGACACTGCCATAGGAAATACCCTTGCAGTAGAAGTGGTGCTCACAATGACTGCGGCCACTTTTCAGGGTACACTACAGATCAGAGAGAACCTCATTGATTCCAAGAAGGCAGTGGACAACCAACTGAAAACGATGTGCGAAGAGTTCATTGCCCACACAGCCCAGCTGTTAATAGGACCGATTCAACCGTTCCTTGATAAGGTAAGTTACATCCATTGTACTCAATGCCTCAAGTGCCTAAAGCTTTTGTACCTATCAGTCCTGTTGTAGTCACAGTCCCTCGGTTTCAGCAAACTCCATTGGTGTCTGTGACATGAAAACTGTGCCATCACACTACGTGAAGGTTTTTCTTAGGGACGTAGTAAGCCACCAGAAATGTGCTTCCAGCACTTCCGGGCAACCATTGGTTCGAGCGGTTTCAGTCATGAGAAAGGCTAAACGGGAAACCCTAAATCAAAGCTCATGAGATTCACTACATCCTCGGGGGCAGCTATCTGAGACTAGGCAATTGAAGTTACGGGTGCTTTGTACATTTTGAGCGCCAATGAAAGCTATGGACATCCAAACTTCACTTCTTCAAAGTTGCCCCATCAAGTTGTCGCCAAATATAACTTGCGATTAGACTATCTCTTCTTTTACGGCGGAGCTGTTAAGGGCTAGGTTCCCCAGGATCGTGTCCGGTACCAAACAAATGTCGACACAAAACTCTAGACAGCTATCGCCATCTATGAGCGACGGCGGCAACCAGACAATCGGCTTGCCAGCATTGCTCATAGATGGCGGCAACCTTTCCAGCCTTTCCACTCTGGTTTTCACCAGAGTGGAAAGGCTGAATTTCTCTAGACGTCGTCGTAGATATCGTCCTCGAGGTCGTCCTAGAAGTCGTCCTTGAGGTCGTCCTAGACGTCGTCCTTGAGGTTGTCCAAGAGGTCGTCCTAGATGTCGTTCTAGAAGTCATCCTTGAGGTTGTCCTTGAGGTTGTCCTTGAGGTTGTCCTTGAGGTCGTCCTAGACGTTGTGCTCGAGATCGTCCTTGAAGTCGTCCTTGAGGTCGTCCTAGACGTCGTCTCTGAGGTCGTCCTCGGCATCGTCCTTGAGGTCGTCCTAGACGTCGTCCCTGAGGTCGTCCTAGACGTCGTCCTCGAGGTCGTCCTAGACATCGTCCTTTAGGCTTCGTCCTTAAGGTTGTCCCACCATAGTACAGCTTCTCTGGTCTTCCTTTTTCACGAGTGGAAAGGCTGAAAGCTTTTTTTAAGAGGGATATGTGCAGGTTGCTACGCACGTAAACGGACATGTTTTTAATGTCCTGACCATGTCCATATCACAGGCAAACGTTATCCTGCAAGTGCAACATCAAGAGCCCACACGAACAGTTTCACTACGAAACCAGCCATTTGCAGCCCCAGAAACGGTCTCCAATGTGGTGAGCAATGCCTACCGCCACCTGAAGGAGACTCTCACGTCACTGGCGAGGAGCATGTCCCTGTACCTTGCCAACAAGGACACGGAACAGATCCTCTTCAAACCTGTCAAGGTGAGGTCGCACCCCACTTTTGATTACAGCAGGCACGTGGTCTGTGCTCTCCAGTCATGTCATTGTGTGCCATAGGGTGTAACCCTAACAACATTGCAAGCAATCGTTAAAATAGAGTATATAGTAAGTACGTACTAGTGGGCAGCCTGCTATAAGCGTAGGATGACTGTACCCTTATTGAAAGACTTATACTGTCGAGACCGGTTATAACGTAGTCAGTTATAACAAAGTAGTGACTGCAGCGAAGCAATCACAATGTCCCATTTCCGTTTGCACTTTTTCGAGCATTTCTGTATGTTTTTAGCGGAGGAAATTGAACAACTCCAGCGAATATAACAAAAAAATTTTGTGATAGTTTTTAAAAAAGATTTGAAGACAACTAAGCACTTCTTATGAGTTGTGAATGCAAAAGCATGAATGACGTTCTTCCGCTTCCTTAGTTCGTCTGCAGTGTGCTGGCGTGGATGACCAATTTTCGCTACTGCCGAGGTTGTGGCGCCAACAATACAACAATACAGAAGCCTCAGGCGCCGTCATGTTCCTCTGTGCCGAGGGAAGCAGGAATAGCCGCAGCCCCCCCGCCCCCTTCCAGCAACGCCTGGCGTGAGAGCGGCGGTCGAGCGCGTACTCTCGTGAAGTGGCCACGGCCCGACCCCCCTCTGGCAACGCCTGACGTGAGAGCAGTGGCTGAGCACGCACTCTCATGAAGCAGCTGCCAATAGCTGTTTAGGAACCGTTTCGCTCAGCCAATGGGAGATGGGCATTTCTTTCGCATTTTTTTGCAGTTACAGACTCCGCCAGCTCTGCTCCATGGCATTGCTAATGCTTTCGTATTAATAAGAAAATTCTAAAAGTTTACAAAGTCTCAGACCGCTGCACCTCGCTGCCACGGCTGAGCAGCCTCCCAAAACAGGCCGCAGACGATGCTCTAAAGGGCGCCGGCGGCCTTTAGAGCCTCGTCTGCTCCCCGCTCCTTATCTGGAAAGCGGCTTTTCTGCATCGCACACTGAGAAGCCATCGTGGCATGCTGATAGGGGCGTTTGGAGCGCTAGTGACAACGTACCGGTGGAGATGACGGAGAGAGCCCAGATTTAAGAGAGGGAGCAACTCCAATCATTGAGAGCATTTGTGATTTCATGGCAGGTACCTCCTGGGCAGATTGGCACAAGTATGCCTGCATTCGGTTGTTGCGTGTACAGTGCGGCGAGGAAACTGGGCGGAGAGGCAGACAAGTTTGCAGAAAGTGGACGCTTTTGAGTTTTGAGACCTTGCATGCTACAGCTCGTTTTGCAAATGCGGCCCACAAACCACGTGACCCCGATCAAGCACTTGCTCTTTATCTCAAATATAGGCTCTTTATACCGATGAAAAAAAGAGCTTGAGCGTGAATTTGGTGCTGTGCACGCTTCTTTGTTTGCTTTGTGTTCCGTGTCAGCATCGCTGGTCGATGGATTGCTCTTACACGAAAGTCTAACTTCGCTCAAGCACCGACTTGGCGAATCAGCGCCACTCAGCGATGGAGAGTCTTGGCACCGCCGGCACCTCGACGGGGAAGGCGAAGGCGATCTCTTCGAAACGAAAGCGTGCCATACTTGACGAAGTCCGCATACTAAATGTAAAGAATGCGGTTTACCACCGGCGTCCTCCATGGCGCCCATTGCAGCTGTCGACACTGTCTGTGCGTAGCTCACAGGATCTTTTCTCAATCCGATCTAGCACAGAGTGGTTGCAGGGAAGCCTCGACCGCTTTTTGCAGGCTCGTTAAAACATGTGCCCGTGACAAGAGGTGTTATCTTTTTCTTTTTTTTCATGTTACTTGTACAAGTTCATATATAACGAAGAAGCGGATATGACGAAGTGATTTCCGGTTCCCGTTGACTTCATTATGACTAATTTAGACACACAGTAGAACTGGGATATATTGGTTTCAAATGGGATCGTAAAAAAAGTTTGATAGTAGTATATAGCTTGGTTGCTGTTTACAAATGTGAACTGCCGCTTGCCTCCCCAAGCGACTTTCGGTCACTCCGTCTTTGCAAGCCTGGTGAGCTCGCTGATGTCACCAGTGCTAGAAAGCATAAATGCTACACGGGCAACAAAACTGGAGATTTAACGAGGGCCTTTGGCTGTACAATTCAACGTTTTGGAGGAAGCAAGTTGGTTTACAAGAATATTCTAAAACTTTTTACGGATTTCGTGCTTCGTTCTTTTGGCGTTAACCTGGAGAATTGTTGCTTAAACGTTTCATCGATATTTCAAGCAGCGGTGTTAAGGTGGGCCTTGTTTATTTTTTTTTTTATGAACCAGATATTCTCTGGGACGTTGAAGAATGGAGTACCGCCTGGTGGCTTTTGCCATGAAAAGAGTCTATAGACAATCCTATATACAGAAGGATGATAACTTAAGTTCCACTTGAAGTTTCTGCACCTTTCTGCTGACACCAAAGATCGGGACAGATGGGAGCTTGCTGAATAGAGCCCCCAAAATGTAATAAAACATAATTAAAATCGTAGTTGGCGGGAATCGCGGGCGCCGTCGTTTGCACGCGTATTTTGTCACACTGACACGTGTACATGGCCGCGACCTCATCAGCATGGGCAACAGAACACAAAAATAATTTTAAAAAATAAGAGAAAAAATTAAGAGTGAGACGCATAAAAAAAAGCTATTTCTTCACTCATAAAAAAAAGTCAAGCAACAAAAAAAAAAAAAAATGGCGAGTGAAAAGGGTAGACAAAGATAAACAAGGTGATCAAAGCGAGATTGCCACTGTGAGGATGGCAGCTTGGGTGAGTTGGTAAGGCATCATAATAACAACATTGCATGACAACAACACACGCACACAGAACACACACCCAAGAGACACACAGCTGCAAAGCACTGTGTGCCTCTTGGGTGTGTGTCCTGTGTGTGTGTTGTTGTCTTGCACCGTTATGTTGTTATAACCAAAAACCTTTTCTTTTTTTGGAGGGGGGGGGGGGTCAACCATTTGATGCCCAAAACTTTACCTCGACACTCAGTAGAACTGGGATATATTACTGGAGACCTATTAACCCCGACATGATTTTAGAACACACAAAGTAACAAAAAGTTTTGTCTTGAAAAAATACTACTTTTTTTCGTACACGTTGTTGAAATGGTGCTTATCAGCAACATTGGGCACTTGCAGCGCTACTTTATATCGAACGACTGAAAGCAGTTACGACTTGGGAGAAGACGCAGGTGCATTTAGAATTTCACACAGTAGTGGAGCGAGTAATCGAATTCACATTATTTGCACCTGTTTTTCTTTTTGCTTTTTTGAGGCCAACAGTGTATGCCATTATATCTCACATCCACTGTCGGCTTTGGTTTTAAAGGATGAGTGATCCATTTCAAAGATGCACTTCGATCCTTCACTGCTAAGCACAGGTATGCTCGCCTTTGCAACCGAAGAGGGTGCTAAATTTATTGAGGCGCGCGTGGTGAGGGAGAAAATGAATCCTTCTTGAGTTGTTGCCCCTGGGCAATGCTGGGCATCAAAGGGGGCTGCCGAGGCATAGTTGTTTCCCTCCTCTGCCTTTTTGCGGCTTTGGCTGCCCGTGGCCAGAGTCGTTTATTTTTGGCGCGTGCAAACTGCGCAGCAACGACCGTGCTGAGGGAAAGCTTTCAAATTTGACACGGTTCGATGTATTGAATGTCCCGGGCAGTAAAGTTTGATACACATGTGCAAGGTGCTTCTACTTTTACACGTGATTTTCAAGGGGATATTTTGACTCTTCGAAATAGCTAGGTTCGATACAATCGGGCTCGACTGTACTCTAGTGCCGACCACTAAATGTAAACAATTGTGCGTAATTACTTTTTACAAGGAACCAACAGTCAGTCAAGCTGGTGTAGACAAGATGCAGTAAAAGGACAAGAGACAGTGGTGAAAAGGCAACTACAATCAAAATGACAGGGACAAGGTCTCAACTGCAGCATTTTCTACAGACCATTCTGTCTTAGTCTGTCTAGCCTTGCTCCTCTGAAGTACTTGAGCTTAGCCTAATAATCTCCATTCTTGTGAGATATATCATTTTCAGACTACTGCGAGAACTAAACACGAAGAGGGACAGTTTGTTCGACCCAATTTTTAGTCTACCGATTCACCAGTCTTAAAAATTCTACTGAATGCTTTCATCACTTCGCATTGGATGTCTGTTTCCTTATGCTCATTGAATGACATTCATTTCAGACAAAAGTCTTGGCTGCCTACGAGAACCTGAACCAAATTGTCAAGACAAGTTATTTGGATGAGGACCAACTCATAATTGCTTGTCCGTCTGTAGAGCAGGTATGCCTCTTTTTTTAGGAATGAGTGACAAGTTTCTCTAATACCTGAAAACAGATTTGCCTGTGGATCCAACCACTTAAAAAGTTTTGGTGTTTAAGCTGGTTGCATAGAGATATTAAGTTTTGACCAGGTAGCTTAGCTGAGCAAGCAACCGTGCTATAAATTTTTTTTATTCATTCCACCAGTGGCACTTGAGTTTCTTTTTGTTATGTTTTTTTATAAAGCTGTTAGTTTCTAATTTTTTTTTTAAACTAACAATTCACACACATTTTTTTTTTCTTTTTACAAAGAACTATATTTTTTTTCACGTTTGGAAGGTGGTGTAAAATTAGAAGGTCGATGTCACATAAACTTGGTCACGGAAATGACGTCGCAGAAATAACACCGGAGCGCCAGCGTTATTTGTGTGATGTCAGAAATGAGCAAGTTGCGGGCTTACTCGTTTGCTCGCTTCAGTGCAACACGCTCCTGTCTGATTGAAACGGCTGTAGATGCTGCTCCAACCTCCGGCAGCCATGATTCCACAACCTTCGCTCGTCGCTCTTGACAGCGGCCGAGCTCGTGTGCTCTGTGGCAGGGGCAGTTCACGCGACTCGGCGAAGCTTTAAAAACAATTGCACGCGTTGCGCATATGCGCCTAGAAGACAACAGCGTGGGGGGCTGCACATTGGCCTCTGTTGTACTCTGAGCCATGGGGTATTCGCTTCTTGTGCGCTTGACATTTTCATGGTGCAGCAGCCCGTGGACGTTTCTTCAGTTGCGGCCGTAGTTCAACGGAAATCCATGCAGCATAGTAAGCCGATGCACCAAATAATTTCTTTTTGTTTTAACCCCTTGCCAACTGTGGTTGGTGACAGGTCAAGAACGAAGTGGAAGCTCCTCCCACCCCTTTCCACTTTAGCATAGCGAACGTTGGAGAGAAGGTCGCCTCCCCTCCAGTGTTTGCTCTGCTGAAATGGAAAGAGGTGGGAGGAGCTTCCACTTCGTTCTTGACCTGTCACCGACTATAATAACGGGTGCCACCTTTTACGGACCATAAAGCTTGACCACGAGTGTGACTAATGTTTCGGTTTCAGCGCTTATTTAGCGCGCTGTCCGGCAGATGGCAGCACCACCTTTGTGTTGTTTGCTCGTTTGTGTTGCTGTTTGACGGAAAAAAAGGCCGCCATTGAGCAAAAAAAAAAGAGAAGTGCACGCAGGGTAAGCGTTTGCACCAAAACATCATGGTTTTTGCGTGGAGGTCTGCTTGAGCCGACGAAGAGATCCAAAGACTTCTTTTTGAAAGTGAATGCTCAGGCATATCTGACGACATATTGCAGCCTTTCCGATCACTTGGAATCAGATAGTTCGATGAACAGTGATGGGAGTGATTAAAACGATGCAAATCATTTTCACCGCTCCGATCAAGGTGGCTCTTCACCTTCTGAATGTTTTCAGCTCTATCACACTGTGAAGAACTACTAAAGAGGACTAGAAGATCAGAAGTTCTGATTTAGAGCAAGATACCAGACCTGGAAGTCAAGGAAATGCTTTTGTCTTATTTTGATTCAAATTGCCCGTTTTAAATGAAGTTTTGCTGTACATTCTTTGAAGAAAAAAATGAGTACGCAAGGGGTTAAAAGCGTGGTTGATTTTAAATGCAACCACCCTTGCTGTGACTCTGCCTGTTGATGATATTGTAGTTTGTAATTATTTTTAATATTTTCTAACAGAATTCACAGAAGGAAACACTGTTGTGGGAGGGAATTGCATTTTGGGGGGAAGAGGTAGCAAACAAATAAAATATAAGAGAGCTAGAAATAGTTGAATAATTATGAGTACCATTCAATACCTACCTTAGAAGTAACAAGCAATTACAAATTTATACTCTGAGAAAGAAAACAAAAATTAAACCGGGATAAATGTAAAAATAAATGTTAAAAAGTATGTTAGTAAAATAAGATACTAGCAGCGTTGGTAAATGGCAAAGGCTAGCGAGCATAAGAGCAAACAAAGGCGAAAAAAATACCTAAACCTTTTAAAAATGCCAAAGGCAGCAATAGTATTTCCCTGTCCATTTAGGTAGATTCACCAATTTGGCCACATCTTCCAGTGCAAGTTTCTTCTTTAATAGTATAGTTGTTAGTAAACTGCCAAGTTTCCCTCTCAGTTTCTGACTTGTGATATTTGAACTTGCTTTTCAGATCAACGTGGTTCTAACGTCATTCCAAGCCAAATGATCACACCACTTGCGTTGGGATTCTCAAAGAACGGGAGACCATTACATGCAACGAATTCCAGGGATGGTTGAGGTGCACTGCCGCCAGCAGAATCGTCGTACGAATCCGTCTAGCTTCCACTGGCATCGCTGGAATTGTAGCTGCGCTACCGATGTTATCAGAAGAGGGGATGCTGTATATACATATCTGTACAAAGTTGGCTAAGTTATTGGAGCATGCACCGGTATGAAAGTATCCACATGTTTCTATGTTTTATAGACAAAGGCATTACGAGGTACACGGAGAAATTAAAACATTCACATGTAAAAGTGTGAACTTGGGGGCCTGATAGTGGTGTCATCATTTCCTGTTTTGTTGATAGGTCTGTGCTGTCACTTGCAGAGCCAGATTGGGCAAGTTAGGTGCCTCGTGGGACGAGAGGTTGCCATGACACGGTTATACATCTTTGCAAAAAAGATGATGGCTGGCATACGAAATGGTATGGCTGTCCAGTATAAGCAACGACATACACAGTCGAATACAGATCTCACCAGAGTGTTCTTTAGGTTAGCCTCTGCGTACGCAGGCACTTTAGCTTCATATCATTCTCGTGCCATTGCACCACTTTGCCGCAGAAGGTGTTTAGATCAATGGCTGATCAGTTTTGTTGGCATTGTAAAAGTCTGGTGCAGCTTGTAGTGCAATATCTCATTTGCTCAAGTGGTTTTCGCACTGTCTGTGAACATGATCGATCAGTCTTTTTTCCAGAAAGCTAACCTATCATTAATCTATAAAAGTAATAATGGGCATAGAGTTTCTTACCGAAACTGCTGTCTGTACTAGATCGTGGACATGCAGAACATGCTCAGTAATGCAGCATGTGACAACCTAGCTTTGCCCATCGTTCACTGGGCTCTTCCCATCACGTGGCAGGTACTGGATATCTATGTGCTATGTGGAAAGAGACGTGCAAGCTTTGTACCTGGACCGTACAGTTGGCTTGATTATAGATCTGTGGTCTCTACAGCAGCCACAACACTTAGCGAAACTACAGGTTTCTGTCCATGTTGCTTTAGTGTTACCTTAACACATGGGTTCTCAAACTGCATTCTCCTAACTCCTAAAATACATCAGCTGTTCATGCCACTTAGTAAAGTACATTTTCGGTTTCAGCCCTATTTTTCCAGTTTTGTACTATGCATTGATGCAGAACAATCAGCCAAACACCCCATAGTATGCGCATTATTGTTTACAAGGTCAGTAGGCTTCTGCGCTGCTTTATCGCAGCAATGCCGAGACATTGAAAGGTTCCTCGGATTTTAGTCAACCCAGATAGGGGTTCCTCTAGATCAAAAAGTTTGAGAACTGCCTTAACAAATTTGAGCATGTCTGTGCAAAAAGCAGAACACTGCCCTAACAAAATTCCAGGGTTTCACATGTGGTAGCTTAAATTGAATAGTGCCGACTGATTTGTGCCCCCTGCAGTACACGGGTATAGAAAACAAGGGCTGGTTGATTTTTACACAACAAACATCCTGGATGCAGCACCGTGAATCGCTCTAGAACATTCCAATAATCGCCTTCTACACGCTGTCATCTTTGTCTACCGATTTGAGAATGTGTTCCGAGCATTGGCAGTGGTTCTCTTCTATATGATATCAGGCATGCATCCACGGTAATCGGAAAAAACTATCGATAATAAAAGCCGAATCTCACTATTGGTAGTACTATCGATAGTACATTTCAATAGTCAACTATTGTAAAACCATTTGTGACTAAGTGTCAATAATGTTTGTTAGATGTCACAGTCAATACTCGATTAATATGCCCCTGCGTGTCTGTCCCCACCCCCTTTTTGTTTTACTTTCATTTCTTAATGCCAGATAGTTTTGTAAAAGTTGACTATCACTAGAACAATCAGTAGTTCTTCTAAAGCCTATTATCAATAGTGCTATCAAGCTTTTTATAGTCGACTATCGACAGTGCTATCGTTTCTTTACTATCAATAGTTAGATTCAGCTTCCAGTATCGATAGTAGGCTAGTAACAATTGATTACTGATAGTTTTCTTTATATGTCAATAGGGAGTATTCCCTGACGGCCATTGCTGTATGCTCGACAGCCAAGCACATGCTTACGGCGAACCTAGTTATAACTTATTTTGCAGCCTGCATTCTGCACCATCAATTTTGCCGGTCTTAGCAGCCTATTAATGTGAACCCTGCCCTCAAATATGGCGTCCAGTGAATACCCCCTATAGTATTTACTATCAACAGTTTTGGAAAAACTAACGCTAGACAATTTATCGATAGTTCTGCATCACTAGCCCACAGCCCAATGACTAGACATTGCCCAGGTGAAAAGTGCTAGAAAGGTGTATACAAAATTCTCTTTTCCACACCACCAATTACACAAACCCAACCAGTGCAACAAAAAAAAAAAAAAAAAAAAAAGCCAGAAAGAAGAACTGAAAGATACATTTATGAAAACCTACAAACACGGGGTGCCGCAACCATGTTTCAGCTCTTCGGTGACGATTCTTGCAACGACACCTCGTAATGCGGGGTCCCTTCCCACAGCTGGTTGCCCTTTGGGTCTATGGCATAGCTGTAGCTGACTGGGTGTTCAATGGCAAACTCGATGGCTGCATCCAGTTTCTCCATGGTGATGTAGGTGTCGCTTTTGGCCTACAAAATGGGAACATGTTTGTAGGTAAGGTGCACTCTCCTGTTCGACACCTAAATCCGTCATCCCTCAAGGGAGTTTGGTTGACAGGCAGGGATTGAACTCTACCATACTCCACTGGATCTGATCACCCCCTCAATGACACAAAATGGTGTCTGCAGTTTTGAGTTGCCTCGTAGAAGGTCATCAATGATCTCTTCATCAATGGTAACACAAATGGTGAAACCCAACTGCTAGAGTTTTCGGCTGCGGTTCCCATGTTGTTGACATCCCCTGAAACATCCCACCAAAATGCTCCTTATCGCTTTGACAGCTGCCTACTGAACGGCGCTGGCCATTGAAAACAAATCTAGAAGCCTATAAGCCTTTCCTTTATGTTGACCAGCCCAGTTCAGCTTTACTCCAACCTGCAGTCTACAAAAAAAACCAAGTAAACGCTGTTAGTTCTTCAAGAATTCTTTCTCAACATTACCTCATACCTTTGTCAGTTCCACATGCTGCATAGACATACATGTGGAGTGCATCCTAGGAAGGTATGAGCTAGTGCTGGTGATTGGGTGCAGGTGAAGTATTTGAAAATCTTGCTGCCTCTGGCAGTTGCAGGGTTCAGAAGGCATTATCTGTTTCCTGCTCTGACATTCTCATTTCTTTTGACCATGATGCACAAAACCTGTAAGAATAGTGACACTGAAAACAAGTGACAAGAATGTATTAATCTGGTTCTGACTCAAAAACTAGAGGGGAGCATGACCCATGGCTCCTATGCTGAGATGTGGTTGGCACAGGTTTTGTAAGCTGTGATGATAACTCGAGGGATAAGGCTTCATTTATTAGAAAAGAGGAAGATTTATGCTCCAACTTGTGCCAGGTGAAGCAGTTATGTGATACTATTTGGACTGCATTCAAGCAGGTGCTGTCAAGTGCCTAAAATGTGAAGTCACCCAGCATGCATGTCGCAGCATTTACACCTGTTTAACGAAATCTTGCCACCTGCGACAGTCGAAGCATAAATCCGTCATGTGAGGGCTCGAAACCACTGGCCGAAATGAATGAATACTCCGTTGCCATCAGGTGTGGACAAAGCCAAAGCTACGAGTGCAAGTATGCCCTCTTAAACAATGCTTACGCTTCAATTGTGTACGCCGGACACAAATGAAGTGTGAAGCTCACTCTTGCGGCTTTGGCTCTGCTCTCACTTAAGGTGAAACGGAATATAGTACAGGAAGATGCAAACCTTTTCCTCTCGCACAATCTGCTCGATGTGCTCTTTCAACTCTACGAGCTTGGCTTTTGCTTCAACTTCTCTCTGAAGCAGGTCTTCAACCATCTTCTCTGCCTCCTGCTTGTTCCTCTCCTCTCTAAAAAGAATGAAGCATGCATTGGCAAACTTGTGGCATTTCAAGTTACGGCACCCCAAACTCCATGACCTAGAACAGTCAAAGTGTCGCGCATTGCCATGAAGTGAGCCGTACCTCATCTGGGCTACTCGCTGGTTTTCCTTCTCGTTCTCTTCGAGGAGACGTTCATGCTCTCGCGCTTCTTCCAACGACACAGCCGAGAACTTGTCTGCTTCTTCCAGAGCCAGTTGATGTTCTTTAATGAAGTAGTGCCTGAAATCGAGCACACACTCTATTAAGCTTCAAAGAGAATGTTGGTTCAGTATCACACACCATAGAGCACATGACAAACATATTCTTGTATGTCTGTCTTCTGGACTTACATGGCATGAGAGTTTGTCTGCTCCTTGCCTACCTGATGCCCTTGTTTACCTGCTAAATGTGCCTTTCTTCTACTCCCCCCACCCCAACCTTTAACCAATGACGCTGCGCGCTTAGCTGCCTTGTCATTGCGCATTCTTTATGTTGCCCTTTCATTGGCGTACCCCTCCCTGCGTAACGATGCGCCAGACGCATTTTGGAACACTTGCTCACCGAATACACTGCGATAGCAATAATCTAGTAGAGTTCAGCTGACCAGCTTGGCCACACGCCTTTCGATTAGCCCCTGGCACTCTCTGGGCAACTGACTCGCGCAGCTGCAGCAGGTTTCATCTACGGAAGAGGTGCATACACTATAGGCCAATAAAGCTGCTTACCATTACCACCAAGGTGATTGCTACCATAGTTGACCGCCGCAGAGCCAGAATTACTGTTACCAAAATTCCTGTAATAAAGATACGTGGAGCGAAAGCTCGCGCTACAGAACCTAGGGGTCCTGGGTTCAATCCCCAGCCCTGCCCGTTTTGATCTGGACGAGCATTGTGCCGGCATCCGGTTGTGTATGACTACTGCGTAATGCACAATAAAGGGGTGCTGAACCAAACATATCAGTGTCTTTAATAAGTGGCACACGCACTTTTCATGAGCCAGCGACTGCGGGTGTGCGCGAGCACACGCAACGAAATTGACGTCATAGTCCTCCATTCATGCTTAGTCGTCTGCTTCTTTTACAGGGGTTGTGGTGACGTCAGAACACCGAACTCAGATTGGTTTTGATTGAAGGACAGTGGGTAGACCTCAAAGCAGCTTGCTTTGAGATCTACCCACTGTCCTTGACGTCAATTTCGTTGCGTGTGCTCGCGCACACCGGCGGCTGCTGGATCGGGGAAAGATCGTGCGCCACTTATAGTGGACACTGAAATGTTTGGTTCAGTATCCCTTTAAAGACCCCAGACTAACAGTGGTACCGCACTGGCAAAATTTCTCATCTACAGCGAGACGCCGGACGCCCTTTTGGGCTTCGCAAAACTTTGAATCACTATATCAAGTACGGTTTATTCATCTGCATATCATCGATTATTTCCTCTTTGGAGACCACGTACGAATACCGATGACGAAAGCGCCCGTGATTCCTTTTTAGATGTTGGAATAATACCTTAAATAAGAATACCTGAAATAATAGGTTGAAATAATACCTTAAAGACTTAATTTCCGTGCGGTAGAGGTCGTACAAGCGCTTCAACTGCTTGGTTTCATCTGGATCGGCGGGCTTGTGTTCGATGATGTTAAAAAGTTTGGACGGGGCGATGGGCATCCAGCGTGGTTTCCTCTGCCGTATCCTCTTCCACCTCTGCTGTTGCACACCGAGGACGATCGACGCGTCTAGACACTGGATAGAGCAGCACGTCGTTTTCCCGGCAGGAAGCAAAGGGAGCCTTCCGAGAACGGTGGTTAACATTGCAGCCATTGAATATCTGCTCACTCTAGCTCTCCTCGCGCTTGTTTACCTCCGCCATGTGCTCTTCACCTCTTACCAGGTCTGCGCAACAGAGTATATTTTTTTTTTAAGTACTGAGCAAGGTTTGTCCTAGCGCTGTAAGTTAGTCCTATTTTAAGTATAAATATCGTAATTGCTTAAAACTAATAAATAAAACTGAAATTAGTACCTACATAAGTTGATGAGCATATGCAGAACAATTTATATTCAAATTCTATAAAATCTTAGCAAGTTATGGCTTGGCTTGTGGCGTCCTCTCGTAGCTCTGGGCAGAACTTGCGAAGCAACAAGCGAAGCGCGAAAGGTCAACAGGTTTAAACCTTAAATTTGTGCTTGCTTTGGCTGAGTACGTTTGCAAGTCCGGTATGTATGATCTCTATGGGTCTCAGGGCGCCGCCATCTTGCTCAGTGGGGTGCGCTTGGGCGCGGGCCAGAATCCGACTACGACGCCTTAGCAAGGCCTCGTAATCGGATTATGACGCTTCCAAGCGCACCCCCGCCTGCCCCAGCCGAGCAGAGAAAGGAGAGCTGGGGAGGAGGAAGCAAACGAAACGCTGGAGGGGAGAGGAGGGAACACCCCCCTCTCCCCAGCATTCCGTCGTTCTGTCCGCTTCCTCCTCCCCAGCCTTCCTTTCCCTGTTTCTGAGTGCTTTACGGTCGGAGTAACCTCCGACCATAAAGTTGACATTTGTGTACCCTTCGTGGCTGTCAACGTTATTAGATTAGCTCAGTGAGAGGATATTCTCGGCAGGGGGTGAGAGGGGGTGAGAGGAAGAGGATATTCTCGACAGAGAAGATGCTGAAAGTTAATTTGCGTATGAAGGCCCGTTCACACTCTTGCAGCCGAGTACGACCGAGAGAGACCAGACCGGTTTTTAAGCCTATTGCGACCTCTTGGGACCGGATGCGCTGCAGCGGGGCTGGTCCTAAGAGGTCGCAAGAGGCTTAAAAACCGGTCTGGTCTTTCTCGATCGTACTCGGTTGCAAGAGTGCGAACAGGCCTTGACACGTGAACAGTACTATGGACATGGTATACAAAAATAAATACATTAACATTAAAGAAATATTCCAACCAAATGTATTAGATGTGCATGCCAAACAGTGCGCAAATTTCAAGGAAAAGAAATGCTCATGATGTATCCGAAATAATAAAAAGGTGTGATTTCTTGCCGAAATTTGAACTTCTCAAGTCTCGTTTCGAAACCCTGTAAATTGTTTTCGGGGACAATACACATAACTCCGCATTAAAGGGATACTACAACGAAATTTCGGCGCTCATTTTTTGGTCTATATGTGTTCAAAAAAGCAGTATCAGATGGAACATACCAATATCTTGTTAAAAAAGTCTCGAAAAGGAATTTTAAAACGAATTAAACGATTAGCAAAGAGCACCTGGTGGATGTCGCTAACGCCTCGTTTGTAATGCTCGTCTAAGAACCTTGACAGCTAGTGACGGAGGTTGTCTCGTCTCCGGTCACGACGAGAGAAGGGGGGAAGCAGGAACTCCCCTCTTCCCGAGAATCCCTTTTGTGTGTCGCAGAAGTCGCTATTGTCCCCCTAGAAGATTATAGAAGATTAACCAGTCACTCAAAATTCGTACAAAAGCAGCCGCTTCGGTGGCTGGAACGACTAGGCCATTCTCTCGACGTCAGCCTCGCCGTAGCTTTGCTCGTCTTGAGACGACCTACGTCACGATTGCGTTGGATGTCACGTGCTCTAAGCTGGGCCTTCTCCGAGCGCTTGCCAGAGTGGGCCGTTTATAACGAAAAATACAGCCACCAGGATCAAAATACAAACGTGCGATTGTCATTTACGGATATTGTGGATCATATTCAGCCTATTTTTGAACACGACGGGAATATTTTAAATTTCGTTGAAGTATCCCTTTAATGGCGTCCGCACGCACGTTTTCGCGGCTCCGCTTCTGCCTTATTTTTGTTACACTACTCAAGCTACGTCTAGACGACTTTACGGGCCTCGAGATTCATGAGCGTTCCAGGCATCCCCTGACCCGTCAGCAGACCGACCCACCCCTCTCCAGCTGGGTTGCCGTTGGGCCTACGACGACGCTTAGGCCTAACCGGCCGGGCTACTCGCCGGATCGCCGTCGGTCCTCCGCCGCTGGCTTCACGATGCACGCTCATCGTCACCACATCGTCTGGTGCCTGCTTCTCGCAGGCGATATCGCTCCCAACCAGAGTGTCGAACCGAAATTTTTATCGGTTCGGTTCCGGTTCAGTTCCGGGGAGCAAAAAATAACGGTTCAAACCGGTTCGAACCGGTTCGAACCGGTCTGAACCGCTAAATTGAGAATATATTCTTCGCGTTGTTCTGGCAATATACACTATTTACGCCGTGAAACGATTAACTACATACAGGGGCGGATGCAGGAATTTCCTGAGGGGGGGGGGGGGGGGGGGGGTCAGGTGCTGGTCAGCCTACCATATGTTTAGGAACCCCCTCCCCCCCTCCTTCGTTTTACGTCCTAAAATTTACACAAGCAGAAATCAAGAGGGGGGTCAGGACATCCGGACCCCCCCTCTAAATCCGCCCCTGACTACATAGTTTCTTCGATCGTCCGTGCAAGTTACTTTTGTTTTTAGGAGCCAAAAATATTAAACTCAGTTATTCAATTTTGACGCAAGAGTAGAAGAAAATTTACATTAATATACATGACGTCGTGTTCATACGACTCAAAATCCCTTTGTTTACCAGTAACATATATTTTACCTGAATCAAAATGTTTAAGTACAATAGTAAAGAGTTGAGCTGGTTGGTACATACCTGTATATAGATCAGCTTCAAATTTAGAACTATACTGCATTTTATTGTGCTTTCTTCATGTTTAAGTAAAATTCTAAAGTTCAAGCTGATCTATTTACACGGTATAAAATGTTGTCGCAAAGTGATGTAGGTCGCCTAAAATACCCGTGATTGGTACAACTTTGTGTCGCAGTGTTAAAAATGAAATTGTGATTGTGTCCTTGAACTAAGGAATTAATTACATCACATAAAATTATGAAATGAGCACCTCGTGATCATGCTAATTATGAAATAAGGTTTACGAAATACACTTCACAATATATATGTATATGGTGACGACATTACTGAGCTAAAAGCAATGAAATTTTCAGAATGTAACAAAAGTTTTAGGATAATTTCTTTCAGTCTATTTTTTATAGAAACACCGAGCGACAATACCCAAATGCTTGTTGTTCTAACCAAATATTGTTTACACTCAGCACCTCACGCATGCCACTAATCATGCAACAAGAAGTAATCGCAGTTGTTCACTCTAATCTATACGCACCTTCGCTCTCAGATCGAATCTGGCCGAAAATAGCGCTTGCCCAAGTGAACGTTTTCTTATGCAGAATAAGCTGGCATAGTCTGACTGTTGAGGTTTGTTCTAGACAAGATGCCGGTCAATTTATTTTGCAAATGAGCATTACCTTTCCTAACTGATTTTAACTCGATAGCGTTAAGGAGCTCATGTCGCAGAAAAGTCGATGTCGGCGGCGTGACTGGAAAATCCTGATTGGTCGATAGATTCATGACGTCAGAGCTACGTACCCTCGCGCAAGAATTTCAAGCAACCCACAATGCTCACGTGAAACGTTACATCACGCGTGGAATGAGAGTGATTAAAACGTGACATGTAATGCGAAATAAAGGTCGCCGTATGTCTCAAATGATTTCACTTTTGAAAGTAATTAGGTTGCCTTAAAGAAAAAAAATTAAAAATATTAGGCGGAATACGAACCCACGACCCTTTAGTTGCGAGTCAGACGCTTTTCACTAGGAACGCCGCGAGCGTCTGACACGACAAAAACGTGCTTTTTGGTAAGAGCGTTTTTGCAAGCAAAGTAGCTTCCGGAGTCACGCTTTTTGGTCTGCGCCAAAGATGCAGGGAAGAGGAACCTTTACAACGCAGTATGTTCTTTAAACTCCCCCTCCCCCCCTCCCCCCCACACACGCACTTTTTTATACAGCGGTGGTGTTAAGATCTAGTTTCCCCAGTGTCGTGTCCGTCAGCAAACAAATGATGACACTAAACTCTGGACAGCTACCGCCATCTATAAATGACGACGGCAACGAGACAACCGACTTGCCGGTTGTCTGGTTGCCGCCGTCGCGCATAGATGGCGGCAACCTCTTCAGCCTTTCCACTCTGGCTTGCCGACTTGCGGCCGGCCATTACTTCATTTACACCATAGTACAGCTTCGCTGGTCTTCCTCCTTCACCAGAGTGGAAAGGCTGAAAGTATTCCTGAGGAATTGCCTCCTCCGTTGGTGTGTGTTCATTCGACAATTTGACACTTGTTAACCGCAACCCTTCATTGCTTTTATTTTGCACCCCGCGAAGTTTAGATGGGTCATAAAATGACATCGGGTTGGAATGTTCATGACTTTTCCGAGGCGTACTGGTCCTCCGGCCCAAGTACACTCGCACAGGCCGCCACTAATTCAGAAGCTTCTTTGTCGCGGTGAAATTGCGAGGATTAAATGAGACTATTTCTTTTAGTCCTGCCTACCCAAAGATTGATGTCGAAATTGTAGGATCAAAACCACCCGCCTGACGACAGTCGAGCGCGAATCATGGATTGGACAGGAGGACTGCGTGAGCACCGTACATCGGCTCGTAACAATCAATGTCTTGGCAGACACTCGGGTAGTGGCTCGTGTCCAACCACTGCGGTGATGAGAATAGCCGAACTCTAACAATGCCTGGAGCTGAGCACGCGTTTTCTTCCTTTAAAACCCCCGCGCGTGGGTATGATTAACGTTGGCGGCATAAGATAGGCACCAGGCCACATGGCCGCTTTTGGCTCCGAGTTGAGGGGATGAACGATGCTCATACTTCTCGAATTTTTTGGCGACTGCCATTGCCTAGAATAAATAGCAAACCCAAGTTCAAGCAGTTATTAACGTTAGGGAGTGATCCTGAGTAGTATTTAGTGATGTATAGAAATATTTTTATAGCCCCTTTAAGCAAAGTACAGAGGGAGTCGAAACTTGGGCAATAACTTGAGAACGACGCTCGTCTGAGA